TTTTACGGCGCTCAGAACTCTCTAATATAGAATATTTTGAGGGTATAACTTTTATTCATGAGCTTGGCGGATCGATTTACAGGTGTGTACCCTATAATAGCAGGCAACTTTTAAATTTTAACACAAAATCACATTCAGGACAAGCAGAATATCTCCAAAGTCAATATTTTGAAAAAAAAAATGAAAGAAAAATATTATCCGAGGTAGATATTAAGCCCGAAAATAGTGATTGTTTTGCCCCTGCTAAGCTGTAGACCGCCCCCAGCGACAATAAATTGAGTTCCAGCTACTTTTAAGCTCAAAATGCCCCCCCCCTTTTCAAGTATCAATTGTTGTAATCGGGTGATAGCCTACTGCTCCCTTATGATTTGGAAGCATCCGTTACGGCAAAAAACCCTTGTTGATACCTTTAAAACACTTTTTCCCCCTCCCCGTAGGTTCCGCCCACTGAAAAGACCACTGCCGCGGCACAGCGCATGCGCGAAACGGCCATCTTTGTGATTCCTTATAGGGTGCATACCTGCAAATAAACTCCCATAGACACTAGTGCTAAATGCCCGTACTTCAAAATTCTTTTAAAAATACTCAAAACTCTCACAGGTATTCAAGCTGCACAGAAAAATGATGATCAATGTGTCATCTTTCATTTTCTTTTCAATTTATGGTGGGTTGACCATTGACTTTTCGAGATATTTTCACGCAAAGAAGACGACCCCTGTTTTCCCCAAAGCGGAAAAGTAGCCATCTTGAAAAACGATCCCTCCGCAAAATAGCGCCACTTTCGAGCCCAATAGCATCCAAAATGCTCAGAATTGGAAGCCCCAAGTCCGGGCTAGAGGTTCACTACCATATCTCTTCAATTCCCCAATTTTACGGCGCTCAGAACTCTCTAATATAGAATATTTTGAGGGTATAACTTTTATTCATGAGCTTGGCGGATCGATTTACAGGTGTGTACCCCTAGGATACTTGGGGGGAAAACATTGCATTTTTCCTACAGCCAGTCAACGCTGCAACAAAAAAAAATAAATATTTTTTTTACACCGATAACGCGCATACCTTTCTTGAACACCTTTTACTTTACTGGTAGGAAATTCAAGGAAAGCAGAAATGTAATTGGCCGAGAGTTGTTCGGTACGATCCCCCTTTAAAATTGACTGTATTCAGAAAAACGCTGGTTAGGTCTCCGTGTACGATTCTGTCCGTCTTTTTGTCCAAACGGCATTAAACAATTCGGAGGAAGCACAGATTGAGGGCGCACTGTCCTTTCAATGTATGGTCGCTCGCTAGTATAACGGCCCAAAGTTGCCTTCGCCGATTAAACTATTTTGTACATTGTCTTGTCTTTGGCAATGTACAAGCCTGCATCCGTGGCACCAACCAGATGATACAGAGATCTGTTGGTTGCAGCCTAAACGACTAGAGTCAGATATCAAGCAAAATGGTCAAGTTCAATGCGAAGTCCCCCCCCCCGTTCCGTTCCCTGACTAGTCTTGAAACTGTGTCGAGAAGCAAGACCGTAAAAAAATAGTTGTAGCCAAACACACAAATTACAATTAAATTATGAATTATTAAAAGTAATTGAGGTGTGTCTTGATTCGGCTGTATGAACAGCGCCCCTTATGTCGAATAATTTCCAGCCCCCCTCCCCTCCCCCACCCCTGGTTTCGAATTTGCAACGTCTGGGAAAATTTCAGAGTTTTTGGGTGTCATTCCCCCAATCGTCGAAACGGATTTACGCCACTGTTGAGTAGGGTCTGTCACTGTCAGTCATCTTAGTCATGGTCCGTCTACAGTCCTGTATACACACTGGTTTTGTACACTTTACCTCTCAGAAGATCTACAAAATATTTCTATTGACCATAATTTGTTTTTATAAGACATTTACAATCAGGCCGAGTTTTGGAAACGAGAGGTGAGTAAATCCCTTGCTTTTGAAACGTTAAAGTTGTCGTCTTGAGTTCCTGTCAGTCTGTCGGTTTGTTTACGAAGCTACTGGCGGCAATTTCTTCAATCGAATTTCTTGTACTGAATTATTGGTTGATTTAAAACACAGAAAGCTGTTATTGCAGTCTGTACATGGTGCAAGTAAACACAGGAGGGGGGCCGGGAAGGATATATGGGCCATGGGATCATCCCCCGCATTTAAGTGCAAAGGAAAACACAACACAAACAAATAAATATAAAATCGTCGCAGTTATAAAAAAAAACCCGGGAAAATTAAGTAAAATGTTTAACTTCACTGTGCAACTCAACGACGTAAACTGCGCATGCGTATGTGTGTACATACAGGTTAATATTACAAACAGCGCCCCCTGGTGTAAAAATGATCGCCCCGCTTTTCGAATTTGCAACGTTCGGGAAGCGGTTCGCCCAAACAGTTCCACAAGGATCGACAGAGAGCGCCCTCTCCGGCGCATGCATATTCTAATACATGTAGGCCTACATGGCTTTTGAGAATAACTTTTTCATTTAAAAAAAAAATAACATTAGTAAGGAACAGTTCTCACAAAACGTAAAGCGTATGCTGGATTTGTGTTTTGACGAGAAAAAGGCATTAGACATTTTTAAAAATATATTTTGGACAACGTACGCCACTGTGTCTATATATGCAATGTCTGTGTTCCAGCATACTTTCCTCAAAGAAAACCACTACGATACGCTTTAGATGTACTTTGTTATGGTCAAGAATTTACTGACCGCTAATTTGGCAAAGCAATGGGTAACTTTCCGTTGAACGTGTCATGCGCACGCGCGCGGAAGCAGTGAACCCGGGGCAATGGGTGACACGAAATCCACAGCTCCAAAAAGTCGATGCCAACAGCGCCCCGTAGGATAAAGTGGTGGGTACGAGGAAGATTTACCCTGTTCGATCCGGAAGGTTGCAGGGAAAGCTTTTCTTTAGAATGAGTGCATATCGAGTTCTGCATTGATAACATTAATATCATGCTCATAGACCTGGTTGGCACTTTTCGTCAACCACGGGTTGGCAATCTACGGAAGGTCAAGTTAGGTCAATGTTGAAAAAATAAATGAATAATAAAGAATGTTTCAATCTACACATAACAACTGGATTGTTTAAAATACAAAATGACCAATAAACGCTACCAAAGATTTAATAAAAACGCCTCTTTCTTACATAATGACGGCGTTAATATGCAATGTTTGGCAAAATCTGCCAACCACGGCTTCAATGTTTGTCCTTTTGGGAGCCCATACAAAATGGCGCTCAATATTTAGAAACAAAAGAAAGGTCTACAGGTCATTTATCTTTCGTAGTTTGTAACCGCACAAGAGGCGCCTAAGTCTGAAACCAAACGGGCCGTAAAAGACTATCTTTTGCCACGCACACGCTTTAGACATAAAAAGGCTTTAACATCGCAAATTGCTTTGGCGTTGGAGGAAAACTTTCGTTCGTAATCTTGTCCAGACTTGGTACAAAGGAGCTGTTGTATTTTTGAACCTCGGTAGCCGAAATTTTGGGGGATGTGAATAGGAATCCTCTTCGGCTGCTCGGCTGAATTTCAAGGCTAGCCGCTGTTGAACATACAATATTCTGCTAACAAACGTTAGGTCCATTTTATGAAGACCGTAAGCAGTAAGCAATGTCTAGGTTAAACAAGAGATCACATCAATCTCAATGCATGCACATGGGCTAACACAATGTTCGTGAAATGCGTTACAGGTTAGCACAACTTTCTGCTCAAATTGGCAGAACGTTCTGCTCGCCACTGAGCAACGTAGACCCTTGCATCACATACAGCAAGTTGTTGGCCTACAGCGACCTCTTGCGCCGTACGTCGTGCATCAAATTAGACTATTCCCCCCCCCCTCTAAAATATGGGGGACGGTAGCTAGCTTATATTTAAAATAAAAAAGCCACTTAATGGACGACCTCTGCGCGCGCAGCATGATTGTTTTTTTTGAATCATTATTCAGTTTTGTGCATGGACGATAATTGAACACATGGTCATCAAAGAACGGACTCTTGTCTTACCACAACGGGTACGCGAAATCGCACGCGTCTCCATGAAGGCAACTTTCAAGCATTTCAACTGCATAGGTTTTAAATACTGAACAGTAATTTCCCTCTTTTTATTGATATTTGGTAGAGACAGCAAAAATAGAAGCTTATCACCTCCGAAATTGCACATTCGTGGCCTATTGCCATTCTGTAAAAGGCTGGTTGCGCGCAAACATTACCGTTGTGATTTTGAATTCAGGAGGCGGGATACAGAACTACGCACGTCATGCATATAATCTGCATACATAGGAGGAAAGAGGATTCACAGCTAGTTACCTGTCCCTATATTTAAAGTCCGAAGGACAATGGGGACAGGGAACCAGACTAACATCAAAATACAACAGCAGCGTCTCAATTAAGACATAAGCTTAATTATTTCTTGCAGAGTGATTAGATAACCCTCAAGCAAAACCACAATGAACATGACAAAATAAGTGATTTCTGATGGTATCATAATACGAAACAACCTACAAAACCTATTGCTGAGCAAACAAATAAAAAAACTAAATGACATCTATAAGCATGTACATTGTAACCGTCTTTAAGTCATATGATATTTACTGTGACAGTGGCCACACTTCCAGGCGTGGAGTCAGTCACGAGGTGTTCATTGTACATTGAGCTATAAGTTATTGCATCTTTTCACACTGATGAGGGCGGCAGAAACAGAGCGCAAAAAGAAACCAAAATCTACCACCCTATCATGTCAAAGGGCTCCCTCAGTTGTCAGCTTCTGGGGCTCCCTCAGTTGTCAGCTTCTGAGGCTCGTTCCAAGCCTTACCCATTGGCATTAACGACCTCTCATTAAAGCTCTAATTTAAACATGCATTATTTGTGTAGGGACAAGACAAGTACAGTCTTCGGCTTACTGCCTGACCCCATACGATTACTCTATGTTCTTTTATGTTAGCATTATCATAGTATGAACTTTAACTCGAACTATGAACTGGACTTAAAATATATTATATATTTTTTAAACAAGTGCCCGATCGGGTTGTGAGTTCGAGCAAAAGGCAGCAAGAATCAAAACTACAAGGTAGGCTACTTCAAAGGATTGGACATTAATTTTGCCATATCATTAAAATCTGTACCTACTGACTTAAACTGACTGACTGACTATCATTTGGGTCAGTGTCATCGTTATAAGTTACCCCGTTACACCAACGCGGATGGCTAAATCCGGCCACTGTGTTCACCAGATGCTACAGAAAAGACTTCCAGTGAATTAGCCATGCTGAATTAGTCGAATAGAGTTTTGTGCGTTTTGGTTCAAGCGTTACTGGCTTGCCTTGTCATGTTTTCAATGTGAAACGTCTGGTGTTTGACTACGTTAGAAGCTGGGTGCTGGGCATGCAGTGTGGCGGGTTCAGTATCATACTTGGCTTTCGTTGATCAGGCAAGATTTCTCGTTTACGTCTCTATCTTCCATCGAACCTACACACATCGAAACGAAAAGAGTATTATCAGAAATTGCAAGACCCTTTCCGAGTTGGTTTATCAAACTCTAAAAAAACCCCCCAAAACCACAAAAACAAAACAAAACAAAAAAAATCATGGTCAGGTTCTTAACCTATATAGTCTCTCCCTGCGTATGACTAATTCACGGAGACCGTTAAGCAGTAAGCACAGCAAAAGGCACACTTTAACCAAGAGGAAAACGTCGCTCAAATCAGTGAATAGAAATCTCCATGCGCGCACAACCGTTAGCACATCCACGCCGTGAAATAGTGCTTCAGGTTAGGCCAAAAAAAAAAAAAAATTCGGTCTCTGGTCAGACCAAAGTTCCGGAATTGACGCGGCCACGCGGCTTTTTTTTTTTTTTTTTTCCTTTTTTTTTTTTCTTCAGCTTGGATTGTACAGACAAGGTGGGTACTATTTTGCTTTTCTGGTGTCCTCATGTACATTGGTGGCCTCCATAATTTGCCTTAGTGCTTTCGATCATTTGCCTTGGTGCAGTTTCCCATTCCTTGGTGCTCTTTGGTAAAAAAAAATGAGGAGGTGCGGAAATAGAAAGCGCTGTTGGAGCTACCGCGGAACATTTTGGAAAAAAAAAAGATCGACGCGCATGCTTAAAATCGACGCGCGCGCTGACCAGAGACCGACTTATTTTTTTTTTGGCCTTAGCACAATTTTTTTTGTGCTATAGTTAGCACAAACTTTTTTGCTAACTGTTAAGCAGTGCCATGAAGTCTGTGTGATGTTCTCTCGCTAATTGTAGGGATATATTATGGGAGTATTATTTTACCGTAAACCAGAGCTGTAAATGAGTGCAAGTCAGTCGCAATTATCACGAATCGAATAAAATCACAATTGTCAGGGGCGTAAATCTGGGGGGGGGGGGGGGAAATGGGGATACATATCCCCCCCATTTTTGACCAGGGGGATGGGCTATTGAATCATCCTCCCACTTTTTTCGTGATGAGGAAAAAATGCGGATTTGATGTTTTTCGAACATCCCAACAACCACAATGTACTCAATAGCACTGGAAAGAGTAGAAAAACTACAAAAGCTTTTAAAATGCGCCGTTTTGATGTAGCATGGGTATGTGGTGTCCCTCCTCCCCTGCTTTTCAAATGTCCACGACCGGGCAACTTTTGGATTTGGTCATCCCCCCCCCCCCACTCGCCGGCACAGTTTTACGCCACTGGCAATTGTTAGTTCCTAACCTTCACAAAAAGTAACAGGGAACAATCAATAAAAAAAATAAAATAATTTTTGGGTCACAATTCAGTAAAATTGCTTGCCACTTCCCACTGAATGGCTTGAGATGGACTTTTGATGCATTTTGCTGACATGTGACGACCTGATTACAGCTCTGCAAGCAAGGAACTGAAAATCGTGTGGGCTGTAAGTGCGAGCTTGATCACAATTTACAGGAAACACATTCCTTCTTTATAAAGTCGCTAACCTCACAAGATTTTTTGTTTGTCAATGATCGATAAAAGTTCATGTTACTCCTCCCACTTACCATGTTTAAGAAATAGCAATAACAGAAAATAACTGAAGGTTAAAGTGGAGGGGAGTTTAGTTTTGTCAGTTAAGTGCAAATAATACGATGGAGGTGCCTCGGTGCCGAAAGCATACAGGGCGGTGCATAAAGAAGGAAACCTATTTTGACAACAATTTTCACCTATTTGTTGAGCATATTTCAAAAATGCTATTTAATGGAATTAAAAAAATTAGATCTTCAAACATAAGTGACGAAAAAATGATTGCAAATGCACATTTTGTCTTTGAGATATGGTAGTTAAAAATTTCATGTACCAAACCTGTTTGTCCACGGACGGCTTTATTCCATCTGCTTGACTGAGCTTGTGTTTTTGTTTTGTTTTTTTTTTTATATTTGTGACCTTCGAAACATCCGATTTACATAGACCTACACGTGCACAACTGTGATTTTGGTGACTTGTATTCAAATTATCATAATAACACTATTCTTGCGATTTTTTTCTTCACCATGTATGGTTGAAGAGCTACATTCTAAAAAAACAATTCAAATAAGTTAAGTAAGTAGGTGAAAATTCTTGTCAAAAGGTGGGTTTCCTTCTTTTTGCACCACCCTGTAGTTACACGGGAAAAAAACGAGAACGCATATTCTTAAACAAGTACAAAACATTTGAAACAGAGAACACCACAATCATAAAGGAAAAGGAACACGGGGAATCGAAAACAATTCAGCAGCAACATCAACTTCGGAAGAGAAAAAGGAGAGCCACACACAGCGCAGAAGCATTGCATCAGCCTGCAGCAAAACGGCTATTTTGAGCACTACGCCTTTTTGCAAGAATTGGTTTAAAATTGCCAAACACTTTTGGGGGAACTACATTTTTACAAGGGTTTTTCAATTGGGGGCCTAAGTAACATTTGCCACAGCAATATCTAAATTCTAAAAGCAAATATCTCACTGTTTTGCCACTGTTAAAATTTTAAATCTAAATTTGGAAATGAATCATCTCGTGAGGATCATTTTGGAAAAAAAACCGAGGTACATGTATTACCGCTTTACATTGTATTTCTTAATACAGTGGCGTAACTACAGAGTGTGCCAAAAAGTGCAACATTCAGGAAATGAATAATTAAACCTGTTTAATGTTTTTTCGTCAATGAAATGACATATTAAATTAAAGCCTGGCTATTTCTCAATCCACTCTTTTTTACGCCATTCCATTTTGGTCCCTAGATCCAGAAATACAATCAATTAAGTGAAAGGGTTTAAATTTCACTTGGGCCACTCTCACCTGTGATGTCACCAACTTCAATGCCTATTCAATGCTCATTCTATGCTTAACCCAGATTCAGCATGTCCAGGTGAGAGTGGCCCAAGTAATATTTACACCCTTTCACTTAATTGATTGTATTTCTGGATCTAGGGACCCAAATGGAATCGGGTATAAAGGAGTGGATTAAGAAATAGTCAGGCTTTAATGTAATATCTAACTTTATTGAGGAAAAAAACAATAAACAGTTTTAATTATTTTTCTGTATGATGCACATTTCGGCACACTTTGTATACAATACAATTTCCAGCGGATACCTGGGGTGCATACATTTACAAGGGGCACTAATAAAGGCATATATGAAACATATCATTTTAGTAGTGCATATACTTTTTTTCATTTCAAGATTTCCAATGGTGGCCCCCTCCCCATCCGTTCCCACCGTAGTTACGCCACTGATCATATTTTTAAGTGCTGTTTGGTGCAGTCTGTTATTTTTAAATTACGTGTATGTATTGAGTTTGTTTTAGTTAATCTATAACTATTAGTGAAAAATGACAGAATTGGGAATACCGAGTATTCTCGCATGAACAGAGGTGCAAAGTTCTAGTAGAATTATTAATGATTATTAGTAACATATCTCATCCCATGCCGAAGCAAGCTCGCACGAGGCAACCATGTACGTACCGACAATATTGTTTGGGCGCTTATCAGAAGATAGTCTCTTCCGGGGCTGAGAATATTAAATATTAAGAAGGTGTCTAGACAATAGGTGTCATACATTAATATGAAACGCACAAGCTGTTCACTCTTAGTTACGGTGACTTGGCTTACCAGTGATTCTATCATGATTAAGGCTTCCATACATTGTGGCTTAATGAGACTTGATTACTTCGGTTAATATGTTCAGGATAGCAGATGATGCTTAAGGTCTGGACAGGATGATTAACACTTGTCCTGACCTTGGACAGATCACCGCAATAATTATTCAGTGTTTAATAAGACTTCACTAATGGCGACATGCCTGACAAATTCATAACAGGACGGTGTGATGGCTCAAGCTGTATGCACGCAAATAACGCTTTGGCACGCAAGTAGTTCCTACAGCAAGAATATGGTACAAACTCTGCCAACGGTTCATATATACTGCACAGTGCAATGACTGCACGCCTCTGAAGTTTTCAGTCCAAATTACTGCTAGAGTTGAAATGCTATATAGTCTGGTTCCCTGACCAGACGATCCCCAGACGTCTCTTAATCGTAGCTCAGGTAGCCGTCACATTTTAAATGTATCATGATAATGAAATGTCTGGGTAGCCTGCCCTCCTCCGAGTGCTTACCTGAGGCACAATACCCAAAATAAAGGCACTTAATTTTTTTTGCTGAAATGTGAGCTTCGATTTCATAAAATCAAAACTTTCAAGACTGATGACAAGCATGGCTTGCATTTCTTCTTGTAAAAACTTACACCCGGAAACGCCCGAGCGTTAACGAAAACGCTCGGGCGTTCGTAAAACTTTGAATATTTTCGGAACCGGGCAGAGTCCTGCCGAATTTGGTCACGTGATATTGATGGCCACCTGATCTACATTAGTCAATATAGTTTGACCCTTTAGGTCTGGGAACCAGACTAGGAATGTGCCCTATTGCTCGTCTTCATACGGTCTTCACACGTTGTTGCAAGTATAGGATTAAAAAACAAATGTAATCAGCTTGAGGAAGAATTCACTAAGTTACAGAACTGAAAGGAAGGTGTGGCATGTAGCAAAACAAATCTCAAAGGGCCTCTATAATAGACCTAAGAACTAATGACGCAATGGCTTTGTTTACATATGCGCTTTCCTATGGGAGCGAAGTCGGGACGCCAGACGAAGTAGGGACCGTCTACCACATAGGAAAGCGCACATGTAAACAAAGCGTGACGTCATTAGGTGTCAGGCCTATTGGCGACAATACTACAGGTTCGCAAAGACTTTGAAAAAAAGTTATATGCAAATAATATACATCAAATCTAAACATCTACCCAAAAAAAATTATAGTGTCGACACGGATGACTTAACATTGCGGTTGTAAAATGGGTTTTGAATGAATGAGAAATGTTTTACGATTGGTGGAACCTTCAAAACTAGTCACAAAAACGTTTCTAATTGCTAAATTATCTTTTCCTTCCAATCCTCTCCTCATGAATGCGTGAGAAAAGTTTCTCGTGTAATCTCGCGATATCTCGCGATATCTCGCCTTCACCTACCTGGTAGTGACACCTTGCGATTAGTCGAATCCTCCCCGTCGCTGACAGACAGCTGCTCCCGTGGTGAGCCGGCCGGCTTGTCTGGCTCGCCGTTAAGGACCACATTGGTTGCTGTAAGGAGCGTCTGGGTGGAGTCCGTGGTCGGCTGGTCGTGTTTCCCCTCGACCCAGTATGTGATCATGATGCCCTTGCCCTGAGTATCATTTATCAAGTAAATGGGGTTGAGAGATATTGATGAGATTTGTAGGTTTGCACTGTGAAATCAGCAATAGGTCTATTGCGTAAATTTGCGTTCAGCAACCATCTTTGATGTTCGTTTTGTTATGTTAGTTCATTAATTCATTAACAATGAACGCACAAGAGGTCTACGAATACGTATCCCTGTTGGACAAAAGGACACGCCTCAAAGATGACTACAGTGCAAACGATCTATAACAGTTGCTGTTGCACAATGTGACATGAACTATCTGTTTCTTTCCTGAGTGGAAAAGAAACAACGGTGAAAACCCAAAGTTTGTGGACTGTGTGCTCTTCCCGTCGTCAGGAGACTGACAAGTTTTAAATTGTATTGAGAAGCCGCGCCAGGCTAAACGACATGCAGTAACACTCCTGTCCATGGGACGTGGCGGACACGGCTTACTATAGACCTAATTTTCATGACGTGGCTTACTATAGACCAAATTTTGATGACGTCACAATGACTGCGTTTCAATGTCAAATTGAGTGACAGCGCAGCGAGCCAAAAGTAACATAGATGTATGCATTTAGTGCGGCTAAATGTCACTCAAAATGTGATGTCACATAATTAGGTTATCAAATCCTTCTGCTTTCATTACGCATTGCATATATCGGCCCCTTAGGAATTAAAATGTGCCAGGCTAAACGACATGCAGTAACACTCCTGTCCATGGGACGTGGCGGACACGGCTTACTATAGACCTAATTTTCATGACGTGGCTTACTATAGACCAAATTTTGATGACGTCACAATGACTGCGTTTCAATGTCAAATTGAGTGACAGCGCAGCGAGCCAAAAGTAACATAGATGTATGCATTTAGTGCGGCTAAATGTCACTCAAAATGTGATGTCACATAATTAGGTTATCAAATCCTTCTGCTTTCATTACGCATTGCATATATCGGCCCCTTAGGAATTAAAAAATGACCATAACTCAAAATGACCATAGCTCAAAGGTTTAAATTATTAAGAAAATGCACAAGTGCGATAGTATCTATCGCAAATTGTAAACAGTACTGTTTATCTAAATGTATAGAACGAACATTACTCGGACCTCTTGCCAAAGAACGTCATTCTGTTTACTTAGAGAAAATTGAATACCGTGAGAGAAAATGTTTGTTCTGCAGCAAGTAAGTTTCCAAGTGGGCGGTTTACCATTGACTTCATGAAACATTGAAATTACAACATTTCTTGGCTCCCCTGCCGTTGTAAGTCACTAAAAGCAACGGCGGTACTATAAATTATCACAGCGCGATTCTCTCAAACAGCACGACAAGGGCAACTGGAGTCTGTCTGATACTTGGTGGCAGCAGACTGTATTTTTTGGACAAGATAACAAACACATAACTATACCTACGTATTTTCTAAGTGTTTGTGCACAGTGTTCTCTACCGCGATGGAAGTTTGACCGGAATAACCCCAAGACGAACCCCCCCCCCAACAAACCACCCCCTAAAAACCCAAACCTAATTCTACGTCCTGTTGAGACCAAGGCTTCCACTGTCGGTAATGGTCTTGAAAAGTACTTGCATTCTATAATAATTCATTCAGGATGAATGCGGGAATCCAACTGGGGTTGTTGGGCACGACAATTACCGTGCATGGGTCGCTGTGTAGGCATTAAAAAGCAATCAACACCAAACAACAATCAGTATTTCATAATTCGCGTCCGCCACCATGCGTGTCGCGCCATTTACAAAATGCCCAAGCGGCTCCGTGCAAGCTGCCACTGCTGATAAAATATTCAAACATTGTTGCCCAGGACCAAATGATTTTTTTGGCCCAGACGGGATCCCACGTGTTACCTTGACTGGCATCTCCCCGCGTACCACGGTGTCATAACCGCCCAGAACCTCCAGGATTTTCACGCACGCTTCGCTGGCTTGGATCTTTAGAGCTGTTGGATGTGAGAGGAAATCAAAGAAGTCTATAAGAAGCTGGTGGACACTTAGTCATTGGCTACTGCAAAAACAAATGGATAATTTAGCGGTACACTGCCTTAATATAATCTCGGAATTTTGTGTAACACGAACTATGGCGCCACATCTTATAATTATGCACTGCAAAAACTGTTTAAACAACTTAACACTTTTCATAACACTTTCTTGCTTTCAGTTTGTAAACACGTTTAAATACTAAACATGTTTAGAGTGGGGATGGATAGTGTTAAGCAATTGAACACTGATGTTTAAGAATTAGTCACGTAATGTTTAGCTTCTAAACTTGTTTACAAAGTGATAGCAAGATTGTGTTTAATGGCTAAACACAGTTTGTAGAGTGTGATATTGTCATTGATATCTCTAGTTTTAAAACCACAAAAGCCATGGTGCCACTGACTCTACGGCAGATCCAGTTTGAAATAATAAAAGAAAAGATTATTTTAAATGTAAAACTGAGAACCAAAGTAGTCACTGTCATTTCGCTGAGAATTCGACATTTCTGATTGAGATTCAGCACAATGTCATAGACGTCCACCGATGCTGACTTCAGGCGTCATAATATCGCATAATTCGGGTAGATTCTGCCAAAATGTTCAGAATAATGACATATGACACAAAAGTGGCATAAATAAATGGCTCTAAACAATTGAGTAAATCATTTGGCTGTACCAAGCAAAAATATGCGTTTAAAACTCTACAAAGATAATCATTACCTGCCTCATAATCTCTATCGACAAAATCCACCGTCTGCTAAAAATATTTGAAGTAATCAATTTTTTTCTTTCCTAAGGCTTGAGAATGTGACCACTTCGTGTCCTATGTAATTGTTCTGCAATTAGTCTCGGACGTATAGACGTTACTTTCAGGTCGACGTCTCCCGGTACCGAATAATCTAATAAACCTTACCAAGCGGTCATAATGGCTTCATTCGGCTGGCAATCTGACTTTCTGGCAAGCCGACTGCCATGACAGACTACCTTCGTGCATTGTATGTTTTGTCTACAATTACTGTATGTTATTTCATGTCTGATGCGGTAAAAAATACGACGGCGGTAATTGGTCGCACATGGCCATGTGTGGCTCACAGACGTTCAAGTCAGGCCAATTAAAAGGCAAATTGCCACCGTCCCTGACATCACAAGACGTAATTCAAGATCTGACAACATATTGAAGATGAGGTTTTAAATCGGTATGAACATATGAAATTTGTTCAGAAAATCCTTTTTAAAAAACAAATTCTATAACGAATAGGCAAACGGCAGGGTTCTTTATTTTAAAAATAAAGTACAGGCCTCCTTCGGGCCTGTAACCGACTGAGTTATCTTAAACAAGACAGCTGTCAGAATCCAAATGATGACAAAGCTACAATTCTAAATTCCCAGCGAAGGGAAGCCACATATCAATGATTTGTACAGTCGAATTTTATCTAAACCTACATGCCTCCGGTCACATTTATCTTGACATTGATTTGAACAAAATAGAACGCGGCAAAATGGATGGATTCAGAAAATGCCTTCAAATAAAAAGGATAAGTAGGTCTATACTTAAATGTTCTAGATTCTAGCGAGGGAAAGGTTGCTTATGCCTGGAAAGAAGAATGGATGGCTACAACGAGTATGGTACTGTTAAATAAACATTTAAAACCACGGAGGTTTCGAGCTGTCACGTCTGATATCTTGTCAAGTTGCTCAAAGTTGCATCGGTAGCTTTCAATGGATCGAAATATCTGTTACAGATTGTAAATTTGACAGCAGCTTACCGAATGTAAACGAGTGCACAACAAGTGTTCTAATTAATGAGCACAACAGGTTTTACTCATGACATCACTACATACACTTGTCATATACTCCATCACACGAGGCATACCTGGACAGAAAGAATTATCTATCTGGTGCTAGTTGCCAAGGCACAAACAAGAGCAACGATCTAATTACTTTTTTCTTGTTATGAAAAAAGGACCAAGATGGAGTGACTGCAGAGCTATATCGTATAAGATTTGAAGATTTTGAATGGTGAGATCTTCAAAAGTGGAAATCTGCGACGATGCCGTGTGACGAAAAATTGTGTTTTTTTAGTAAAGTATAATTCTGAGAACTTGCGTGAACCCCTACAACAGATGTTCTTATGACGTCAATGAAGTACGACGTCATTTTTGTTTTGCAATACATGTTTATACTAGCGTATATGCCGGGATGTAGTGTAAAATGTGGACTCATTGAAATACGGACTCATTGGTTGTATTGCGCATGCCTTAATTAGTGGACAGGTAGACCAGAATAGCGACAAATCATTGAAAGGTAAAAGTGACCAGATTCCATATGAGTTCAAATTTTCACGTGACACCGTTGTTTTGTTTTGCTTTGTTTTTAAATAAAAACACGTCGTGACGTCAGAGGTTTCATACCTTCCCCGGTAGACTCCATTCTAGACGCCGTATTGACCGTATCGCCGAACAGACAGTATCTGGGCATTTTGAGACCCACAACCCCCGCTACAACGGGACCTGTGATTGGTGGAAAACGATCGACAGAAATGTGTTACACATCTGCATCAATGAGCGCCTCTAACTTGTCTTGTATAGAACTCCTATATTTTGAAGGTTTGTGGAAAATACGGAAATACAAGTATTTATATAATTGGTGATGCTCAAATGAGCTCTTCTGATCTAACGGAGGCTATGATTGGTCAAAACACAGGCTTATACTCTCTCAGAGACCGAATGTGACCAATACCATTTCAGCTACGTGTTTACCTGAATGAATACCCGCTCGAATTCTGAGCTTGACATTCTGCCTGTGTGGGATAATAAACGTTTCACAGACTTGAACCAAGTCTAAGGCCATGCTAGCGACTTCTCCTGCGTGGAGAAGACCGTTGCGTTTTGGAATGCCGGAAACCACCATATCTGAAAAGAAAAGACAAAAATCAGAGACGCTGTGACAAGTACTTCCAAATAGGCTAGCCCTAATCAGATTCAATATTTTCAAAGTAACTTATCATTTTGCTCAAATTTACCGCGCATTGTCTAGCTTTTGCCAAATGTTTCCCGCCATCTTCAATTTTATTCAGGAACTATATAGCCCAATTTCCTTCCAAAAACGCGGGAAAATAAAGCAACGAGTTAATGTTGTCGCATAATATGGATGAATTTCTCTTTTTCTTTTCTTTATTTAATATACATGAATGAGATCGATGATTCAAAAATAAGTCTGAAAATTGGATGAAATGTCTGAAACATGTATCGCTTTCTATTTCTGACAATGTCTTTCTCTCAGATTCAAAAAGTCTGATTTCAGACAAAAGTCTGAAAAATCTCATGCCTGAATGCCTATTAATAGTAAGTTCATCAAAAGACCAGACGTAGAATTCCACCTTTTACTTCTTTCTGACGATTCATAATTGAATCGAGATATTCACAGCCAGTTCACCCTCGAAAGATATTTGATACTGAAAGGACAGATAGGCCCTAAGTCAGGCCATGCTCGTATAAATGCAAACAGAAGCAAAAATCAAATATCATGTCTCAGATTACACGACGGCTGTTTTTGTTCTTTTTCTTACATGCATCTCCAATGGTTTCCACTTTATAGACGTCGTACGCGTCGATGATGGAGTCAAACGTCACGTATAACTTGTTGAGAAGAGCCACTACTTCATACGGCGAACTGCCGCTTGAGAGACTAGTGAAGCCCACAATGTCACTGCACAAGAACACAATATGCAACAGAAATGTAAGTTCGCTGATATTTTGAAACCAGAAATCGACAATTTTACAGGGTGAGTCAGAATGACTTGGACCCAAGTTTACCATTTTTTGGTGGTAAATAAAGTATATTGAGAAAAAACTGAGTATTTCATATGAATGGTTATTACCTTGTCTTCCACGGGAATTTTGAATTTTTCAAATTAGTGGCTGTGGTGACGACTAGTGCCATTTTCATAGAAGTGGCTTATTTTCCAGTGTGCACATAGAATTGGTTCTGCCTTTTTTTTTTATAAATGTGTCAATAACTTCAAATGAGTCAGTCACTATGACAATGTTTGATTTCTTATTACACTGCTTCACATCAGTACGCGATTTCAATAAATTTTTTGAACCATGGAACCGTGGTCGGATTTTTTTTTAGCGTGTGTTCTTTGCTAGCGCTTTTCTTCAAAATGGAACAATGGATATACATGAAACTTTCACCAAATGTGTCCAAAATACCAGCCTATAACATATCTCATTTGCACTTGTTTTGATAATCGCTACATATTGTTAATATTTTCTTGAATTGGGGTCCAGATCATTCTGACTCACCCGGTAGGGCTTTTACATCCCAGATGGTGGATGGATGTATGAAATGAGAACCTAAGTCCTTTAATATTGATACACGACTAAGTTGATTAAAATTCGAGTCGTTCTCTCAATACAATTGAAAAAGGTGAAAGCCACCGTATCGTTCCTGAAGTGTCATTTGAAAAGGTTATCATGACATATCGTCATTATTATTTGAAGGTGACTTGCCACACACTAATAAAATCTTATAAACATGTCAAATTTGCCAAAATAAAAAATAAAATTCTCAATCAGCTGACTAGAGCTTGTCAGAGTCAGACTTTTTTTTTACAGTCAAATTTGACAACGTGCAGCCTTTTAGGAGAGTACGAGAAATGAATTAGTAAGTTGGTTTCAGTTTCTGCCTACTCAAAATATCAAAAGTTAATGCGTAATTATTGTTCAAATAAGATATAACTTTTTTGGGCCATTAAGATTTTTCACATGCAAATAAAACAGGCACTATAGCTAGGAAGCGGAGATCATATTAACAAGTCAATAATAACATACTTATAGTACTACATTAACAAAAATGAAGACTGCAGGATTAAATCGACATATTAGAGCATGTCGTTACAAATGGATTACACGCACAGTAAAACCGTTCTCTCAGGCAATCCCTGAGATAAAAACAGCATTAAAAGCTTTCTTCTTCGCAAACAGTCTTCGACTTTTCCCCTTTAAATAACATTACACGGCTGGCCGGATGACCAAAATAGAGGCACATTTAAATGTGTTTTTTCACACCCCCGCGAGGGCCCGGCGATAGGCAGGATGTATTATGTCTTGGAGTGATGCAACTAGATTGGAGCAATGACACTTGAGAAAATGGCCCTGCTTGTCGTGTTGCTAAACGGAACCCTTAAAAGCTTTTTGATTCGTTCTCCGTCGGTAAACTAGGTCAGCCAGCCAACTGTCAATGCTGTAGGCTCCGCACTACTGTTCTGTGACGTGTTGATGCTTCAAATGTTACCATCGATTCTACCTTTAAAAGAACGTCTCTTGTACCGTTAATAACATTTTGCAGCACGTGGAACTTCAGATGTTTGAAACCAGTTGCGTTGAGCAATTGGTTTTCAACCTATACACTTTACATGTTTTTATTCATACAATTGCAATTTGAAAATGTATCATGATAAAATTGTATGCCGCAACCTATATTTCAGAATGCTAAGTGGAAACCTGTCTATTTTTAAGCTGAAATAAATGTTCAATTTAAAACTAAAAGAGTAGTCGCATGTGTGCGTGATACAGCTATTTGTTATGTATTAATGCAACAGTTGAAATTAAGATTGCTTCCAAAGTGATCACTTGGTTTTACCATAAGTCATTGGCGGTTATCAACCTATTTACGCATATGCCTACAAGGAGACTACTTTGAATATTAACTTGTGAATTCTTGGTTTCAGTGTGTCAAATACCCTTAATGTTACTTGATAATGCCAACCAACATACCTGTCAGTCAACATACGCTTGAGTAACCCTTCCACATTAAATATCTGTCCGGAATGACCACAAATCCCCCAAACATATCACTGCCACATGCTTTAATTCCACGCCAAGTCATGACAGGTCTCCCAACAGCAAGACACAACATTCACACATCGAGAAGAGCGAAGATGTCCCCTTCACAAAGAAACATTGAACATTACAGCGAATGGTCTTCATGCCCGCAGAAATTTAAAATTTAAAAGGATTAAACAGGGAGACATCCAACAATCTGAGCGGCAATGAAAAAAGAAGAAGATGTGCTTCGCTTCAGCTTTCACATTTCTTTGTCAATATTTCACTGGCTCTACGCACTTCCCCGCCCCGCCAAATTGCACATTCATCCAGGAGCTCAAATGATTTGCCCGAAGCGGGAAAGTCACTCGATTTTATTTTATCTTTCCTTCAAGCGTAAAAAACCTGACTCGTCCGTACCTGAAAAAGATTGTGCAGCTCTCAAAAGCCTCAGCCTTGCTGGTGATTCCTTGACGAAGATTGTCTGCGACTGGTTTGGGAAGCATACCTATATAGCAAGTACAAGATGAATAGGGATAAGTGGTAAGATGCAGGATCAACAGATCAACCGTGGAATTCAGCATCCATTTGGATAAATAAAAAGGCTAGTAGCGGAGACAAAAGGCTCGTTACCTTGCGTTCAATGGCTCCAGAAAAAAATAATGCAGACAACATTTCATGCGATTTTTAAACTATAAAGTTGGGATGGTCAAACAGAACGTCGTTCGATAAGTAAAATTTACTTGTAATTCCAGATTCGGGGTAAATGCTTAACTTGGAATGACACGCTACAGTTCCTTAAAGATGTTTGAAGAATTTGGCTAAATTGGCGTCAGTGATAACTTTTACACCACACACTTATACCTAAAAGTAATCGTTTGTTTTGAGTTCTCAACAATAACGTCTTACGGTGAATAATGCACTTGTTGTTGTTGTTGTTCGTGAAAGCATTAAGTTGTCCCTCATTACCAAACGAAGCTTTTGGATGTTCCAGAACAGGTTTCTTCAGGCTTACGAACTACAGTGCCTTGGGGCGCTTTTGAGGAATCCTTGGTTACAATAATAACAACATAATTAGGTCTATCGTTTACAGATTCAAGAGGTGGATGAAGTATTTGTTTGTCTAGAGATGGTTGAGGTAAACAAGTGCAGAATTTTCAGAATGCGGGTGAGGTATTGACGTCAACACAGAGATCAATGACCATAATAAATGAAACCAGACTATCATGTTGTTTCAGGACATTGGTCGATTAGTACAATGATCAGAGGGCAAGGGTGTGGTCAGCCACCTCTGCCCCCTAATCCATCCTTGGGTTCAATATATGACACAACAAAAATCCACACAAGGATTTACTATATTTGCAAAAACATTAGACCTTATTCACGAGGGAGCCATTTTCGATCGTATTCCCTGAATCTATTTTATACATTGTAAACTGTGGAATGGGATGGTGCCATACTATTTTGTGCTTGGAGCGCGTTCCAAGCCTCACTTTAATATTTTTTTTTAAATGTGGCTTAAAGCATTAGGTTGTGTTAAATCACAAAGTTTAAATTGTTCATCAAAGCAGACTGGTATTAATTCGTAATGAACTGTTATTTACTTGCTTTCATTTCTACTCACAGGTTCCAAAAATACAGAGTTTACGTCGCTTTCCATTTAAAATGGCCGACTCGTGAATAATGGCCGCACGACACTGCATCCTACAGTCTGGTGCCCTAAGCATCCTTTATCGACTTACTGTACAGCAGTCTGTCAGTCTTCTGTTTCTCTAGCTCTAGATCCTGCGTCCGCTCTGCCACTAGCGCCTCCAAGTGTTTGGAGTATTTCTCCATTAATTGCATCATCATGTCGACAGGGCTAAGCTTGTTGGGGTTGATGGAGTGTAACGTGGACTTGATTTGGGAGAAGGCGGGACGCAGGGTCGGGTTGGTCTGCCAACATCGCTCGATCAGCTATTTTCAGGAGGGTAGTTAGCAGGAAAAGACAAGGAAAACGAGTTAATTTCGGAACAGAGTAGGCCCGTAGCTTGAGGGAGACAAGACCAAAGATAGTTTGAGAAGAAAGCAAAAGTGCAAAGAAGTTAAGAATATAGGGTAAGGGGAAAATGAAGTGGGTAGAGTTACCTTTCTATCTAAACAGATATATATTTATTTTCCTTTTTTTCTTAAAAAAAGAAGATTTACACAAATCCCAGCTCATTGGTCCTACTAAAAACCATATACGGGGTACGTTAAAAAGACAAACACACCGGTAAATAGGACAAACTACACATTATACAAAAGAAAATTCCATAAAGTGCACGCAATCAAGTATAAAATTACCAATACAAAAGGAACATTAAAACGATACACCTAAAATTGGACCTACAGGTTTTCTTCTTTGAAATGCACTTGAAATGACAGTACAGGGGGAAATATTGAAGTGATGGCAAGTACGACAATATACCTCGCTTAATCCTCAAAAATAACCCGTGGCAAAAAAACCCCCAAAAACAAATCTCCGAAATTTAAAAAGGACGCATAAAAAAATCGACGATCGTAACCCAAGTAAAACTTTATTTCAAAAAGCCGGTCACAGGGCTATACTCTATCAACCCACTGTGGCTCGGATCTGGCATTATAGATCACATACGAAGCTGCTAAAGCCAATTTGCTAATTTCGTTGGGTACCTTTTTTGCAGACCCTTTACCCACGTGTTTTAGAAACCTTTTGCACTGTTCGTTGTAGTTGTTTTTGTGTGACAACGCCATGGCTTCCTACCTCTACAGCAGACATTAAGTTGATAGTCGAAGTTGTTAGATGTAATGTTACTTTGTATTTTAGAGTACGTTCCAGTTTTTGTCTTGCCTTTATAATGTTGGGCTCAAACGGCACAGTCAATTCCATTAAAACCACTTGACGGCCATGTGGGAAATGCAGGACAATGTCAGGCCTCTCAGAGGTAGGTATACTTGCTGGCCAGTGCCCCCATTCATACCCATGCCTTGAAGGTATGCATAGCGCCATGTTTATATTGTTTGATACTGCAGGGGACTTTAGGGTCTACAACTAAGCATGCTAGAACACTGTTGTGTCTGTATGTGAATTGTGAATCGACCCCGTTCAAGAGCCACTGGACACATATTGCGAATGTGAAGTAGGGTTCCTCTACCTCCACAGAGGCTGCACTTGCCACTTAACTTTTTTGCCCCATAACATCAAGTTATGTCTTGTAGGTAAACTGTCAATGGTAGCCAATGCTATAACGGCCATCATGTGTAATTTAACTTTTAAGTCTGAATAAAGTTGTCTCATTTATTCTGCTTTTCCAATTTCAATATAAGGAGAAATGAAGTTTGAAATGGTTTAATTAGTGAAAACTAAAAAGTCCAAGTATGGAAACATTATAGACATCGTGCAGCCACGTGACTGTCAGGTGATTTTAATAGATGTTTGACGACAAGAACACGCACTGCGCATGCGTTATGCCATTCAACACATTGTTCAGTCGGTCCAGCGACGTCATCTGCCGTGCACAGCGGCCATAAGGAGAAGTTTTAAGACAAGTCTAGATATATACCTCGTAGTTCAACAAGACAATTGAATTCATAGGCATAGTGTGTAATGAAATTAAAGTTGAGATTTGAATCCTTTTATCCAAACCTTTTTGTAATCTTCGGGGCACGGGCATCTTTCGTCATCCGGCATGACGTCAGAGGAGTTAAGGTCGGGAAGAGAAGGGCGCCACCTACCGTCTACCTTATCGAGGTCCTGCGATTCACAGGGCTCGTTTCTGGTGGCGATTTCCACTAATATTACTGCGAAACTAGGAAGAAAGACAAATGATTTGGGTTAGCATTTTTACCCGTAGGTTTTATTTCAATTTTTGTTGTAGTAAAAAGGCTCGCGAACCTGCCCTATAGGTTATCATACCTCCAAACTTTAAGCTCCATATAGAGTGTGAATTTTTGGTGTTATACCGGTCAGTCGACTAACTGCATATTTTTAATATCTTTTTGAGGCATTGACACATTTTGGCAGATATGGAGCGCCCGGTCTGTCAAATAACCACCTAAAACAACAAAATGCTGAAATACAGATTGATCGAGCTGAGCTAAGCGCGGATTCCTTTGACAGGCTGCTCGACAAACAAAGTGTCACGGCTGGCAGAAGGAAGGAAAAATAGAATGGACCTGGAAAACAAGCACCAAAAAATATCGGGAAAAAAATTCAGCTGGTTTGACCAGTGCCTTGTCTGATATTGAACGGAGTCAGAGACAGCTTCAAACGGCGGGGCGGCAGCCGGCTGGAAATCCCGCCGAGATTTAATGCGAACGCACGGGCATTCGTCACATTTTGACGTGTATGGATGAGCGCATAATCTTCCCCAACCCTGCACATTCCGAAGTCATTCAACTGTTCCCAGAATTCAATCACCGAGAAAATAATAAATCTCCGAGACAGAGAGAGAGAGAAGGGACGGGAGAGGAGTACCGGCTAATTGGGTCTGGCGGGTGGAACATGATGCACGGTCACACCACAATGTCAAATGTTACCCATATGCGTGAAATAAGAATCGTCAAAACCGACTTATGTTACCAAAACGAAAAAACATGAACCAGACATTCCCAGCAGATGAAATTTATCATTTCTGCTGGTAGACATACTCCGTAGTTTGTGTATTACATATTACTGTTTACCCTAGCCCTTATCGAAAATGACAACCAACTCTAATGAACAGAGATTGATTGAGATCCCGGTATTAAGAATTAAACAGTAAAGTATAATTAAACACAAAATTATCATAATGATGAAGATATTTGCTGGTACAAGAATGTTCATACATTTATTTTAATACTGAAATAAACCGTTGCTGCAGTGCAAGTATCTAACCACTGGATACAGCATAGTCAAAATACTGACTGGTTTCTGAGGAGTAGTGACCGGAAATCCGGTCGCAATGAAGCACAAGACGATCGTTTTAGCTTTTAGACAAGAATATACTCACTTTAGAGATTTTCAAGTTAATAATTCTGTTATTATATATTTAATAAATATATTTATTTTTGCTGGTTTTATTTAACAGTTAAAGATGGACTGTCGTCCGGAATTTGTCAAATATAAGTGTTTTAGATTGTTTACTAACCAAACGTCACAGGCGACGCCGAGGCTGCTTCCCAGGCGAAGCGGGCGAAGTGAAACCTCGTAATGCATTATTTGAAAGTGACTGGCATGCAAAGCAATGAGGGGAATCAGGTCCCACAATAGTAAGAGCATTGTGTATTGATCGACGTTTTTGAAAAGAAACATGTGAGACTCGAATCGAGACTAGCAGTCCAATTGTTTCTATAGGATCAACAAGTAATCCGAAATTCCTTCGCGCCATTTTAACGCGAAAATGCTGCAATAAGTTTTCAAGGTATAGTAATTTTGTGTGCACGATTATTCTTTGATTTTCCAATGATTATCATGTCGTGCATGGGAACTGTGTTCTAGTGCCCGAAAAGTGCTTCTTGAAATACTATCTCTAGTATGACTGGAGAAAGCAGTATCTCAAGTTTGTGTTTAGTTTATATAAATGTGCCCTTAGTTTACTACATATGTGAATTTGATAGTGTGAATTGCCCAACCTGTATGGAAGTCAATATATCGACTCGGTTCTTTCTGACAGCATTCAAGGGAATTGTTACATGCAATAATCGCTCGAGGGTAAACTGCATGCCGTTTTTTTACACAAGATATTGGAAGTACAGGGTGAGTCCAAAAAAAGGGAACCCAAATGGTGCCCCCTATTTTTAAAAGAAGTTCTGCATGTATATAGCGCTTTCCAGATCTAGAATATGAAAGCCCAATTAATAAGCTTTCTTTTAGTGAAAGATTCATTCAAATCGCTCATGTACTTTTCCAGTTATGGAATTAGGAACACAAACACCGTTTTTATGCTTGTTCACGGATCACAATAAAGGTTAGTGATGTTTCAGCAAAACGAATGCTATTCACATATCAAAAAACACATCAGAACACTCTCATAACCATGATAACTGGCACTTACCAGAACATTTATTTAAAACCTTGCTGCCACCAATGTTAAAATAACATGCTTTATAATGTCAAGATTTTATAGTCTTGCCCTGCCTTCTACTTGGCTACCCCGGAGACTTATGTGATTATTCTGATATCATTTTCAGGACACGACATGGCTTCATTTTTACTGAAATATCACGTACCTTAAATGCTATCCGTGGACAAGAAAAAAAACCCGGTCTTTGTTTCCAAAATTCCATAACTGGAAAAGTACATGAGCGATTTAAATGATTCTTTCACTAAAAGAAAGCTTATTAATTAGGCTTTCATATCCTAGATTTGGAAAGCGCTACATGCAGAAATTCTTCCTAAAATAAGGGGGCATCATTTGGGTTTCCTTTTTTTGACTCACCCTGTAGTGCAGCAACTTTTCCGCATCCGTAAAATACATACAGCATAATACACACATAATTTAGACAGCAATGTTATTATTATCTCAACGCACAAATCATTAAATGACCGATTTTTATTTAACCATTGAACGAAAGTCACGTAGGCCTAACGTTTGAAAACAAGTCAAAACAAAACGATATCTTTGCTTAAATTGATACTTGATGTATGAATAAATACTTGTGCAACTTTTGTAATCGGCTGAAACTATTTCTCGAAAATGCAGTATCGCATAAAAGTTTCTCTTTGCCCAGTTATATGGGCTGCCTTATAAACACAGATATTTGCCAAGCATAGAAAATGTTGCTTACCATAAACAGATTACCAACCAAAATGTTATTCAGTGTGCATTGTTTGTCACTGGTTCCCTGCTGTTTTTAAGCTCAGGTAGGAACCTCTACATGCCACTTGCTGGTCGGTCTGTCTGTCTGTCTGTCTGTCCCGATAATTGACCAAAAGTATGGTGTTCCATATGTGCCATCGGCGCCGCTTTTTTCGGCATCGCATTTTTAAGCTCTGGCAGGGATCATGTTGACCTATTTCTTGCAAGACTTTCATGCAAGACTTCTTGCAACACGGCCAGAGCTTATTGTGCATTCGCATCTTCACATCTTCCTCGAACAAGGTGGACGCCATTTTGTGTAGTGGTTGGACGGTATCCAGAAGGAGGAAATGTCCCAAAAAATGGGCGGGTGCGATTTTTAGGCTTAAGCAGGAGCTTCTACAAGTAACTTGGTGGTCGGTCGGTCGGTCGGTCGGATGGTCTGTCTGTCCCGAAAATTGACTAAAAGTATGGTGTTCCACATGTGCCATCGACTTCGCATTTTTTTTCGCCAGAGCTTTTTGTGCACTCGCAATTGTTTTTTTTGCCAGGCACAACAAGTTGCTTAGTATAATTGTCTGCTTAGGTGCTACATGCAATCGGGTCTTGGTCTTACCTATAAACATCTACCGCTGGCGTAATTGCAGAGTTGGGAAACTCCAGGATTTCTGGAGGGAGGTAGACCCGGGCAACCAAGGCGGCGTAGGTCTCGTTCTCCCCCGGCTGAACCCCCTCGATTTTACGGTAATCTCGGAGACCGTAATCTGACCATCAACAAAGGGGAGAAACGTAAGTCAACCGTGGTCCAGTTTATGGTAATGAAGTTAGGGAATATGTCTTGCTGGAGCCACAGACTTTATAAACGGTTTAGACACGTCTCACGGTGACTGCTCTATGTTCCGACACCCTTATGTTCCGACACCCCTATATTCCGACAACCCTATGTTCCGACAACTCGCACATAACATTGCGTTATTCCAGGTAAGGGTTAGGGTTAGGGTTAGGGATAGGAATATGTGCAGTCGGAACATGTCGGAGCATAGGTGCGTCGGAACACAGGTGTGTAACCCGTCTCACCGTAGTACCACATGAGCGAACATCTGTGCGCTTGTAACGTATAACCATGCTTTTCGTTTCTTATTCGTTTATGGGCAATCGCTTTCATTGTTTGGTCATTTAAATTAGTAAGATCTTTTAATCGATATATTTTCGTATTTTTCTCTGAGGTTCATTTTCCCCCAAAATCTTGATGACTGTAAAATTTACAATGTTACAAATTAACCGATATGAGGGAAACAAGATCTAATTACGAATTAATTAATTTAAAGGGACTAAGATAATTTATTTTTCACTGTTGATCTTTTCTGACTTGTTAAACGTTTGAGTAAGGGGCATCTTTACGTTGACGATTTCTTGACGTGCAAGACATGGCGACACGTAATGTTTGGCAATGGTTGTACTATCGGGAACACTTCTCTTACGTTATTTCTTAAATTATTTCTTGCGTATGTCTGGCCGAACACTTACCGTATTCACAAGGCCCATGCAAAGTCAGTTTTCAATGCAAACCTTGAAAATACATATTTGCAAGTTTTATTTTCCATTTTGAGGGGTGTTTTGGTGCCTTCTCCGTTTTTATGCTAATGCAAAGTTTCATATTCATTAGGAAACCTGTGATGGCATTCCGGGCATGATTAATGTTACACGACTATTTCAGCAAAACAAATTGCTAGAATTTTGGATATTTTGCTGTCATAAATGTCTGTTATTTGGTGATTATATGATGTGTCAGTACATGGCAGTAAGCCAATGACCAATCCTTTCCCACAAATGTTTTCAATTAGCAAATTGTGGATGAATAATTTGAAAGACAAAACCCTAAACTGAACAATGTCTTCCTGAAATGACATCATAGTAACAGCGCGCTCATACGTAGTCCAGAAAAGCATGGAAAAAAATTTAAAGAAGTGCACTTTTGCAGCAAGATTAACCAAAACAATTGTCAAATGTGTAGTTTTCTTACATCTTACAGTAGTAAAGAGTTGCACAATAAGAAGTCCTGAGAAATATTCATTGCACATTGAAGTCATCAAATATGATTTACGCTAAGGAATACGGACACGTATGAAGTCTTAAAAGATGTTTGACAAAAATGTGAAATATGTTTGCCCATTAATGAAAACGAATGCCCGATCAACCCCTTACTAATGGTTTAGACGAAATTGAATGAACAGCGCAAAACTTTTAATATGAATGCATTTGATAGGGACGAGTGAAGCTAAAAGGCGATAGAATGCTCGGATAGGGAAATTTAATGATTCTTTTTGATTGTCGAATGCCGATCTGCATGATCTTTCAATTTCAATCTAAATTGAATGAGCCAGGCGTTAAATTAAATGAAAACTTGGTGAAATTGGCCGGGAAAACCTATAGATACAGCCGATGTTAGGTGTTGAATACAATCCATAATTTAGAGCCAATCTAAACCTGCGATGGATAATTACGATTTAATGAAGGAGCTTTACAACTTTATAATCTTACTTTAAATGTTCTATCCCTTTACGACAGGGAAGATGGATACTGTTAATCCAAAGCTAAAAGCCGAAGGCATGTAACTGTCATTCGAGCGCATGTTTGCTGAGTCAGCAAAACGAGACATGTGCATAAGAAACAATAAAAGACGGCTTGTTTTGTCTAGAATAGCAGTCCGCATGTTAGGGCCGTACCAAACCAGGCTATTTGCGGATAACATGTTCCAGGCAAAAGCCAAGAAGAAAAAGACGACAGGCAGTTTTAGTAACAATATTCGGAGGAGATCCATAAACTTTTTGAGAAAAAAAGGTTATTATTTTTCCGCGTCGGTTTGCCGTACATTTGGTTGCCTCCAAGTTAATTGGCTGTGAAACTATCTTTGTGTGACTTGGCAACGAGAAGGCACTGGGAAAGGCCCAACAATTATCAATTTTCAGACACTTGATAAGATATATATAGGTTTTTTCCTGGCTATTTTAAAAGTTTATCATCCGAATTCACCGTTTCTAATATTCAAATTGTCTATCAACATCGATTTTAGTGCACTTCTAATGTTTAATTTCTTCTTTTGTCAGACAATTTCAAATTCAGATCAAGCAAATTAGCACACGTTTTTCGTCCCGGAGTGTTCGATTTCGTCTCGTCTCCGCCAAACCGTGTTATTCAGAAATTAAATTCGTCGAATTATTGATTGATATCAGACGAATTCGATCTCCGAATGCTGCCATACGGCAACAGCTTAGACGAATTTGATCTGTAATGACGAATATTCTCGACCCAGTGACTAAAGAGGGTGACTAAACTTTAAAGTTGAATGGTAAATGACTCAATTGGTTTTGTTAAAAGCGTGTGAAAGTTTTCTCGGAAGAAACTGAATGTAAGAGGTGGTGAATTTGAATGAAAAATTTTCTAAAATAGACACGCGCCCTCACAAAGCCGAAATGAACCCTCTGCTCTTTCCCTTCTTACTGAAGTAGAATATATTTTCAATATGAAGTTGGGGACATTTGTTTTATTAATGTTTGGGAGAGATAGAGAGAGACAGTGGACGAATTAAACTGTAACTTGAAGTGGACTGTCATTGGCCTGTCCCAATGGCTGGCCAGTGAAATGAGATTTGAAGGACCAATTTCAGCTGACATTCCTAGAATTGGTAGGACTACTGAGAGAATTTGCGACTTGTATCGAATTGCCCGATGATGAAAGAGCTTCAGCACTGGTCATACATCATGCCTGCCGACGGATAATCATAGCAGGCGGGGTGCTTTACACGGCAAATAAACCGAGGGTCCGAGGAAGGCGAGTCCGCTCGTTGGTGGAAAACTCGCCCCATTAATTACGATCACCAATGTTCCAAATTACGCGTGACATTTGCCGAGGCCTTCTCGCCAACCTTGGCGGGAAAAAAATGAGCAGCATTCCAGGATTGATGATTATTATGATTATTAAAGTCCAACATCAAATGCCTCACGTGTGCACATCAATTTTGCTCTCTCATTACATGTCCGAGGATGTTAGTGTTTTACTGTTTTGTTTGCATTATCTCACTCCAGTCTTACCGGATATTTTTACCACCCATCTGTCGTCCACCACACAGTTTGATGACTTGAGCCTGCCGTGGTAGATTTTGTTGCTGTGTAAATGGTTCATCCCGCGCGCTATATCACTGCAGAACGAAAACCTGGCAAGAAAAACAAAGAGACAATGTCGGAGTCCAAACTTAAACGCACGTATACAACATTTGCTGTTGCTGTAATTTTCAGAAATAGATTGATTTGGGGTTAGTATTTTATAGCAAATATACTGTTACACTGACCTGTTTAAAGTTTTGTGTCTATAGATGCTGGGAAAACCCAAGGAAAAAAATGTTGTTTTTGTAGTCTGGTTCCCTGACCCACTGCAGGCGAAACGGAGCAATTTATAGAATTGTCAAGTCAGAGAACCAGACTAGCTGACTTGCACCCACACTGCAAAAACTGCAGTGTTAAATTTACACTGTTGGTATCTATATAGGACCATCTGGTGTTAAATATTACTGGTGTTGTCCTATATAGATACCGAATGGTGTTAAATTAACACTGCAGTTTTTGCAGTGCATTCACGGATGTGTAACCGATCTCAAACAAAAAGTGAACTAACTAAATTTGGTAAATTAAGGGCAGTATTTGAAAAAAAGTCACTTCATCAATGCTGTATGGTCCAACTCGTATTCTAATTATGACTTTTCGAAAAAAAACAAAATCATTTTTCTTCAGACAGAAAGAAGCACGGGCCTAAAGCTTCCCAGAGATTAACTGCAAACTCCTTAAACCGTTGTTATGAGCGCAAGTGGAGTTATGCTAGCTACATTCCTGACAAGTTCCTTTTTAGAAAGCAGCATCAATTTTATTTTCTCAAGCTGAGACAATTAATATCATTCTACAACACCTTTCTAGCTATATATTACACTCTCTAAATGTAAAAGAGTAAAAAGTAAAAAGAAAAATACGAAAGAGTTGTCCGCCATATGGCTCTTTAAAAGAGTGGAGGTTTTACTCTTTTAAAGAGAAGTGTTCATCTTTTAGAGTAGTTTTTTTTTTACTACGGCTCATAGTGAAAACCACTCTTGTAAAGACCAATATGGCGGACAACTCTTTTGGAGTGTTTTTTTCACTCTTTTAAATTGTTTACCATTGTTAACCAGAAAATACAAGCTTCATAATTTGCTTTGGAACTTTTTTTCTCGAAGCCATAATTTGGCAAAACAGGTGAGTCTTTGCCCATTGGTAAGGAACCTAACTATCTATTTTTTTTCTCAATGACGTCTACCGAATCTGCAGGTGACTTCCTCTGGTCTAAACTCAGTATACAGTTGGGCCTATTCAGCAATGACTGTCTTCGTACGTGTTTGTCTATCGGATGACTGTCGTCGTACGTGTTTGGCTATAGGGAATGTGTTCATATAAAGAGTCAACACGTTAAAGGCATTCATTTTTTTAATGCAATACCTTAATATGCACCAAATTTGTGTCCAAAATAACTATATTTTCAATCTTCACATTGCCATTAACAAGGGGTTTTTGGTAACTTAAAAAACACGTTTTTTTTTATTGATGCTCATACCGATTTCCATATTCATGAGCAAAACTGTGATGTCATGCAAGGTACATACTTCAGCAGCAAAGGTTGCTAGAATTTTATATTTGTTGGCTTTGGTATATTTTAATTTAGTTGATTCATTGTTGTCAGTATTCATAAGCAACGTTTACGCACAAATATTTTCAATGACCCAATTTGTGGGGATTATAAGTTGAACAGGAAAATCCCTAAAGTGAAGAGTTCATGGCCTTAAATTACATCACAGCAACAGCACCCTTATTTGTCAGGATTAAATGTTCAAACAAATTGCACTCTATATAACTATTACCCTTAAGCGATGTCTCATAGTTTTCATACATTCAGAGGAACTTTTTTTTGCACTAAGTTATATTCCGGTGTAACATTCATTTTATGGTCCCTTTAAAGGGAGTTCGCCTCTCGCATAGACACGAAACACGCGCAAATCACCACTGACTTAGGCGCTAGTGGCATTGGTTAAACAAAGTGGGCAGATCACATGATATAGCCCCAGAAGAGCCCCAACTGAAGACGCCACACTGCGGTGTAGGGCGGTGTAAGTCATGAACAGTTTACCTATGGCACTGTCTAGCACGCCTTGTCAAGCTTGATATATACGTAGAGCCTTTGTGTTTGAACAGAGAACCGAGAGTACTTTCACCGCTTTCATATCCATCCACCCGTACTAAAATAAATGCATCCTTCATACAGTGACATTCTTTACCCTTTTTCTTTTTTTTTTAAAATCCAAGAACACACGATATAAGGCAGATGTACTTTCATCGACTATTTGAAGTTTTATAGAAGAGAAAAAATCCACCGTGTCACTATCCAGAAAAAAAGGACTTAGATTTTGAGATACTTTAAAATTTAGAAGACCCATTTTTTTCCTTTCAATAAAAAAAATGCACTTTGCCTCTTGGTATGAGGAGAACCTAATAAGCGCTGGCCTTGCATGTGTGTTCATAGCAATGGGGAGGGCAGACGCATTTTAATTGCGTCTCTTGCAATCGATGTATGTCTGGGCCTATAAAGACCGACACTTCAACCATTTTGCGGGTAAACACAGTTTGGCATTTTAACACTGCACTAATCGATGAATCGTCTGGCTCTTTAACCGGGTTTTTGAGAGTCCTGTCAGTCGGGCGCGTGCGCCAAGGCGCAGGGTCCAAACACGGGTACACCTGAATGTCTCCAGGGCGATAGTACAACGCACGTTGGGAAACCATCAAACGTGTAACAGAGCATGGCCTATCGAGTCGATATACAACTCAGTCCCAAAGTCAGGGTATATGGAGCATCTTCAACTGACTGCAACACGAAATGCACCACCTTCGGGCCACCCAGGGAAGTATCTCCCCAGACTCGTGGGCATGTATCAATACGATCCCTCCACTTCACACAAAACCCGCATAAATTGGAAATCAAGAGAGGCTTGTGGCAAATGTACGAGACAAAGGCAGAATAAGAGATTGAGAGAAGGAAACTATAGATTCATGTTTGGAAAAGTAAAAGACTGAAGTGCAAACAGCGTGCCTTTACATGTCGATGACTAGTTAAGAGCTGATAACGCAATACCGGGGGCCTAGACGTGACTGACGCTCCATACTAAACACCGAGTTAACGAGCTATGCTCTCGGACCTGGTTTGAAACCAAAGAGGTTTAAGCAAAGACATCCCTACTCCGTGAGCACGATCCATGAATAGTTTCTGTTCAGTCATTCCCAACTGAGAAATAAAACACCCGTTCTTCTATAGATACAAAAAAATGCACTTGTTTACCAACTGTTGATTTCATATGGGAATACAGACTTTAATCTCCCAATGGATCAATTTACAATAAACTTTTCAAACATCCAAATAGTCACCGGAGACGAATGGTGTACAGCGAAACTGCTCAGAAACGTAGCATAGGATACTGTCAAAAGAATTAGATTTAGAAGATACAGCACAAAACAATAATAATATTCTCATTTAAAATGCACCGACACGAACATTTTTTAATGTTAATATGCCATGATATTATTGATAATATTCTGTACGTACTAATTAAATATTCCATACCTAATTCATGGATGTTCTACATAGAAAACGTACCAGTAGTTTCTTCAAGTGCAACTTGAACAAAATGCATAGTAAATTCAAAATGGAAACCAGCGACTGATAATATTAACATACAGTCGAAACGATACGAACTGATAAACGTGCAGTGCATTTAGTACGATAAATTGAAAGAAGTTCCAAAAGAGGTCAAGCACTTTACCTGAAAATCAAATTGACCTCTACATTATTACCGTATTACTTTAGCAATGTTGTTACCGGTGTGTGTACTTCAACTACTCGTTATTTAACAAACCAAAATCAGTTTTCTTTATTTTGTACCCTAATTAAAAAACAAAAACAGAAATAGAACAAGGAATAGACTTTTCTTAGCAGGGGTTTGAAATAAGCTCTCGATACTGAAAGGTTTTACCATAGAGCAATCTGCCTACATACAGGACGTCCTGAAAAAAATGGTGCATGTAAATCCCTCCATTTTTGCTAATTTACAACCAAACTGTTCTGCGGATGTTTACACCATCTTCAATATAATAGATTTAGCTTGAAAATACCGTTTGTTTCATTGAGATTGCTTTTGTAAATCCAAAGATAATGTTTGAATAACGGCAAAGCCAAGAAACCCATTTTGTGCCACTATCTGTGAAGCAGCTGAAATCAGTATAGTCCTAGTCTAAAACCAAATCACTTTACTGTAAGTGATTTTAACATTTTTAAGCAGAGTGTGCAATACTTATTTATATTTAATTGAACTCTTTCATTGAAGTTTTAAAGAAGTGAACCTGTCTGTACTATTAAATTGTTTGAACATAAGAACAAAACCCTATATTTTCGTGTAAATGGATGTTTGTCTTACACCCATAGGGATAATCTTATCAAAAGAGCCATACTGGCATTGTCTGATCTTTGAAGCACTCGCTTCCTAAACGGAATGTTGTGTTTTTGGCTTTGCGGTTATTCAAACATGTCTCAGGATTTACAAAAGCAATCTTAATTAAACAAACGGTATTCTCAAGCTAAATCTGTAACCTTGAAGATCGTGTTAACATGTGCAGTAAATTCCGGTTGTAAATTGGTGAAAATGGCAGGGTTTACATGTACCATTATTTTCAGGACACCCTGTATAAACAGGGAATGAAAAGCGAAAAAAAATCCAACATTCACCCACCTGAAACTCCAGTTCAGCGGAACGTCATCGTTAAGAAGCACATCAGTGAGACTGCCCTTGGGACAGTATTCCGTTGCTATGGCAACGTGGGGGACCTCAATACACCCTCCCATGAACTTGCATAGGTTAACATGATGAATATCTCTGGCGAAGTAGAGCAGATTGGAATGAGAAATGTGAGTTTGGACGACTTAAACTAACAGGTTGTTTTGAACTGATAAATGGTATACAGGCAAATTCAATTTGCAAGCTCTACTGATGAATATGGCACGACGGTTTGTTCATGTTCGGAAGTAGCTGCATCAACACACCTGACACGGAGAAATAAACACATTATTAATGTGACACCAGAAGCGCATATCGGCACAGCAGTGCATTTACTGAAGGCCGTGTCCATGTGAATTGATTTCTACCGACAAAATGTCTTAGCATAAAACACCTGTATAACGTTAAAACCTATTTGTTAGGGCGTCCCTTTTCATTCTCATGCTTCTCATATTTTTATTTGCCTCTGGAGACGGGTCGGTCGGTGGGCAAAAGAAAAAAAAGTACAGTTGCAGCGTAAAGTTGGCTAAATTAAATTATGCCAAATGTATCTCTTACTTTGTTTATTTCAATGAGATTATCATGAGTTGATATCACTGAACAATACTATTGCAAAGCCATCTTTGTCAAGATGTAGTAGACTTACATTGTCCTGCAGCTCACTAACGTTTTGGCTGTAGTGGCAGCCATGACACAACATTAAAGGTAAACTACTTCCTGTTAATGTTATGATTTTATTCCACAAATAGGAACATGTACATGTTAATGTACCCTTAAGGAGACATTTTTTTCGTCACAAGTTATACCTAAGGGAGACATCGGACATTAAGGAGACATTTCAATGTCTCCCTAATGTCACAACTCCTAGTTAGAGGCAAAATTGTATAGTCGCAAATAGGCTGGATCGATTGCTCATGGTCCAAAACGTAAATATACCAGAATTCGTGGGGGTATTAGATAAGGGAAATTGGGGTTAGGGGTAATTAAAGTTGGAAAAATTGTGTGCACAACCCCATGGGAATGTCCCAGGTACCATTCCCCGATATGATGACGCCACATCCTCGCATCTTTGGAATTGCATCGGTTGCTTTATACGCCGTGCCTCGCGTAAAAGCAGATATTGTTTTCCATAATTGTTCAAAAAGTACAGATCCCGATTGCCTGAATGTGGTATTCACTTGGTTGCTTTCATTTGTTTTGTGTGTGTGTGTGTGTTAGTAAGGGTTCCAGACATAGTTGGAAATGAGAACCACCAATCCTATTCACGATCTTATTTGTCCTCCTTGAAAGAAGGTAACTGCAACACACACTACAAGGGGGAAAGTTATTCATTCGCAGTTAATATTTTAGTAATACTGAGAAAACAAATGACCCAGTTTGAATTCACCCTTAGCAAGTATCAGGGATGTATTACCAAGACAAGTAAGCTGGCTTCTTGGAAATTGCTGATACTATGACGTCGGGAAATGACGGGGCTAGACACGCAAATTTGATTGATAAATGCCACTTTAAAATATAGATACGTTTTTCTTAAACCGCTGTCATGGTAAAGTGACAAGGCACGCTTTGGGAGGATAAGCGCGTTACTCAGGCGCACTATTTCTCCAAGGGGCATGCACAAAACCGCACAGCAAACACATGACTAGTATCAATCCGCCAAGTACCGTATATAAGCCGAGCACCTCTAAACAGCGCTTCGCCTATCAAGTATTTCCCGATGTCTCAGGGATGTTTGTTTAACGCCAGCTGCACTTTTCCCCTGAACATGAATGTCCTCACTCAAGTGGTTATGGGTTAACCAAGTTCAGCATCGCGGTGATTGCTTCTCGATTTTCCAGCACGATGTGTAACACGCATCGAAGCCAAAGACCCTATTCCCCTCACAAGTCACATTCATGAAAAAAAAAACATTCACGGGCAAAGGAGGAGATAAGAAAAACACCGAATTCGCATCCCAATTTCCAATTTGTATCTAGAAGGCAGATTGAATTTGGCTAGAGCTAACGCCCACAACGTATTTGGCTGGAAGCCTTGATATAAAAAATGGAAAAAGGAAAGACAGAAGTTACGGGCGTCACTTTCCGCGTCCATTTCAATTCCATTACGGCAAATCTGATTCTGCCTTATCCGGCAAATCGAAGTGGCAACCCAGGGTGCTCGATGCATTCCAATGCATACACTTAGAGGCAAAAACAACAGGACGAATTTCCATCTCTTATGGATCTCGGTAACTCTCAAGACCAGAATCGCCCAATTCGGAGGGAAATCCATACAAAAGCGCGCGGGACACCAATTCGCTGCTACCAGGTGCCGCAAGCACATGCGTTCATGTACACATACTACAGTTTGTCTCCAAAAAAGTGTCCATCTGACTATTTTTGAAATAGCTACAAAACCATGAAGTCAATTTTTTATGCTCCTTATCCTTGGCCTCAACCCCTATATATGAGTTTCATTTAATGTCAGTCACGCATCACTACACAATTGTCAATTGATCACAACAGCTTTTTTGGACACTGTGACCAAGTTCCTTGCCTTAATCAATTTCAGTGCTGTGTTATGTAAGCAGTGAAAACTCCTGCATGTTGTGAAAAGGGCTGCGGTTGGGATCGGAATCACTTGCGTGGCTATCAGTCATCATAGCAAGACCTCAGTTTCATGCTCAAGGGCAAACGATTCTAATCCCAAACCACATCAGCCTTTTTTCACAACATGAAGGGCTTTACCCAGCTTACATAACACAGCACTGAAATTGATTAAGGCAAGGAACTTTGTCAGTGTCCAAAAAAATATACTGTGATCAACTGCCGATTGTGCAGTGAAACGTGATGAAAATAAAATGAAACTCATAGGGGTTAAGGCCAAGGATAAGAGGTATCTGCACAATAAAAAAAAATCAGAATTGACTTCATGGTTTTGTAGTTATTTCAAAAACAATCAGACGGACACTTTTTGGGACATACTGTATAGTAAACACGCTGGAGTCAGGACTCCGTACCGATTGTATGTACATTGTGTAGTATTTTTATTTGTTTGGTCGGTTTGCCACATTTGATCGCTTGGCTTGATTAGCTACAGCCCCAAGCCACAGCCTGACGTATTCTCTCTTTAATCATGAATTATGCCTGCATCGGTTTCTGGCCGATTCCAAGGCAGCACACTGACACTCTTTTAAATGGATGGAGCCCGAAATTAACCGAAATATCGATCATCATTCTAGGTAGGTCATGTCTCTTTTTATTTTGAAGAAGAATCTTATAAAAATATAGAGCCAAAAACCAGTGGCGAAACAGAAGTTTCCGCGTTCGTTCTATATATGGGTATACTCCATGGTATAATACACGAAGCACCGCCGTCAGAGAAACGATCAAGACTTTCTGTTTTCACTTTTATGGGCGGCAGAACCGGGGGGGGGGGGGCAGATTTTCCCAGGCCAACAAAAGTGCCCCTCTCACGGTTATAAATGTGCCCCCCTCGAGATGAAAACAAAAGTGCCCCTCAAACGTACACGTATGAAAGCATATGATCGCGCTACAGATAAAATTGTCTCCTCTCTTGTAAAAACAAGTACCCCTCAAAGCACTAACAAGATTGTGCCCCTTCCAGAGATGGACAATTACCCCTCGAAAGCACAAATACCCCTCTTACAATAATAAAATTGTGCCCCTCTCGAGATAGAAAATTGGCCATCAAAAACAACAGCGCATCTCACGATAAATTCTTGAGATGGAAAACTGCCCCTTTGAAAGCACAATTTTATTAGTGCCCCGCTCGCAACATTAAAATTGTGCCCCTCTCATAGTTCATGGAAACTGGCCTTTAAAAATAATAGTGCTCCTCCTCAAGCGAATAAAATGGTCACTGAGCTGGCCATCAAGAGCAACAGTGCCCCTCTCGCGATAACAAAGAATGGTCTCTCTACATAACTAGTCAAATTCATGGGCGGACCCAGAGAGGTTACTGCCGGGGCCGGAGGGTGTGCGGTGTGCCGAAGGCCCAAGGGCGGATCCAAGGGGGGGGGGGGGCAACGGGGCCATGCCTCCCCCCCAAAAAAAACCAACAACACACAAACCAATTTTTTTTTAGTGGCGTCACAAAAAAGGCAGCCACTACGTACACCACCATCTTTTCACCAAAACTTGTTAAAGTGGACATAAATTGCCTCAGATCGCACCACAGAGTATCTAAAATCCATTTCCCCCCGGGGCCCTTAAGCGAGCCCCGAACCCCACGCCGTTGTTTGCCCCCATAAAAGATTGTGTTCTGGATCCGCCATTGCGGAGGCCAAAGGGCTCTCACTTTCACACCGACGGAAGATGCCCCCCTTTTCTTGGTAAGTGCCCCTTTTTTGGTGTTGCCCCCCCCCCCAAGTTTGAAAAGCGTTCTGCCGCCCCAGTTTTTTTTCTGGGCTGATATTGCACCTATTTAGCAGGAAGTACTTACATTATAAGACTATTGGTAAATTGTCATGGAGCCCTAGAGAACTGGAGCCCCTACGAACGACTGAAAAATGTCTCTTTCGCTTCCTAACGGTAGCGCATTGTACCCCGACTCATTTACGCGCAAACTGGCACGAGCCCTTCGAGATACCTGTCTATTTGTTGAGCAGACGGTGTGTCGTGAAGGGCTCGGAATTTGTGACGCATTTGCACGGAAACGAGTCAGGGTACAGTGTACGACTGATGTTTTTTCATGAAACTTGACAAATTTCATATTGACCAATTTGGGAACCGCCAACATAGGGCTGGATAGCTTGATAAGAGTATAAATGGTAAGAGCACGGAATGGTTATCCAAAAGGTCGCAGGTTCAAAAGTTTTCACTTGTTCGTATGGGGCTCCAGTTCATCTTTATTTCTGGGAAATAACAGCTTTCTGTGCGAATGACAATTTGCGGATAGTCTTATATAATGTAAGTGCTTTCTACAAAACAGGTGCAATTTCAGCCCAGAAAACGTCGCTGATGGAATTAAAGTCGAAATAGAAAGTCTTGATTGTTTCTCTGACGGCGGTGCTTCGTGTATTAAACCATGGAGGAATAACAACGACGGAAACTTCTGTTTCGCCACTGGTTTTTGGCTTTATATTTACAAGATCCTTCTTTAAAATACAAAGAGACATGACCTATATCTAGAAAGAGAATTGATATTTCGGGTAAGTTCGAGCTACCCATTCATTTAAAAGAGTGTCAATGTGCTGCAACTTTGCGGGGCCGCTCGCTCATCACACACACGTTTTAGGCCGCCGTGTTTGTTTGTATTATTTACCTCGCTATGATTTTCAAGATGGCGTACCCCGATAAAGGTCTATTAATTTGAAGTTAGAATGAGTTTGCAATACACTAGAGGAGAGATTCTTGACAGCGGGAGTGTAATATGACACCTAACCGACCAAAAAACTACATGTTATTGATCTTTAAATGTCATCCGCGTCTTCTCGCCGAACTCCTTTAAAAGATGTCTTGATTAAATGACATCTCAACAATGAACTTGCTGACATAGTTCCATGCAGTCATTCACAACGCACGGCAATCCTCGATTGGACCATCTGGACAGATGCGTGTGGGTTGGGCCCGCCTCTGAGAAATCAACCGATGTTCTTGATTGTCTATGTTCCACGCTATTCTTGTCTGGCAACTTTCCTCAAGAGTCGTGATAACGCCATAATCAAAATATATATTCTTTCTTTTTTTCGGTTTCCCGTGAGATGTATCGCTTGAGACGGGGACATCAGCTCGCTCTTGTCATCAAAAAGTCACTGACCGGCGATATACCGACGTTCTAAGGAAAATAAATGCCTCGCTGGAAGTATTTCATCGTGGGCCTGAAGAGGTAAAATATTGATTCGGACAGCGTGGATGCAGGCGTGAGAGGCAGCTGAACTGTTGCTTTCTAGTGTCGATGCTTTCTATTATCTTTTCGGTCGAGAGACGAACGACGCGATTGGAAAATGACCCCTGGCATGTTTGTCTTTGATGGCGAGGCAGGAAACAGCCGTTGGTGAGTTGGAGGGGTTCCATCATTCGGATAACAAACTTGTGAACTTGTATTTTTCATTTTTCTTTTCAGGAAACGAAACTGCCATTCATTGAGACACTAAAACGAACACGGGTATTCGATTCGATTTCGGACCTCGAGAGTCAACCTTCTTCCAACCACGCCCAATCCACTTTCAAGCTCACACAAAATATCTCAGTCACAAACAAGGAATTGATCACTAAGTCTTACCTTACTTGTTTCACCTCCTTCCGGATGCATTTGTCCAAGGCAAATGACATTTTGTTGATAATTTTAATGGCAATAGTTTGCCCATTCCTGTTGAGATAAAAATACAAGGTATCACATTCTCTACTTCATATGCTTATATAAGTAATACCACTTGAATGACTAGAAATGTAAACATTTGGTTCTTGTTCTCAAACTGTTGAAGCCTCATATTTATCAAGGGAATACACGGGAGCTCGGCCGGTTTTTAAACACCATGGTGAGCGTAATTAACAGCATCCAGACTCAAGCAGCACATATTTATTCCATACTCAACCAGCACGTATTTATTCCCATTCACAAATACCTTTACGGTCAAAAAAAATCAAAAGTTTTAGGTCCAAATATCAACACAGGTCAAAAATTATAAATTTCCATCGATTTGTTCAACAAGTTTACTTCATTTTTTTTCTCGAAACAGCCCTCCAGCTATGTTATGGTATGTCCCTCGCGTAAGTAAACGTAGACAACTCCTTATATGGAGATTGGCGCATGCGTCACGCGTACTGTGCGATGTTGCGCAGAACGCAGCTGTAAGGATTGTGAACGTTCAACCGGAGTCCAAATTTCATGTGACACTGGCAAGTGTTTAAGACCAGCCAGCCGGTGTTTTATCAACCGTTTAAAACCGGCCAAGTGATGGGCTCTCGACCAATATGAATGGGTAAACTGTCTTAGGTATTTATGAATAAAACTTTTCAATTAGAATGATGTTTAAGTAAGTACCACGCGATGCGATTTATCGGACGTCGTATGTGGCTGTTTCCAATGAATAACGAGACTTACAATATTCCGGTTTGTGTGAAGAGTTGTTTGGAATGGGCGGCGGCAGCCAGACCACCAATACTTGACGCTTCGTTATCCGTCCGTACACTGATGACGCTACCGGTGAAACCTCGCATGCCGGTATCTGGAACAAAGCAGTGGCAAACACTGTTGATTAAACAACAGATATAGGAATGAAATCCCGTTTTTGGTTGAGATTAGGGACAACAGACTCTCGGACTAAAGTGGAAAATGTTTTGTTTTTCTTTTTGGATTTTTTTTTTTTTTAACCGAATAATTAATATCTATCACGATTTTGTGACAAACTTCTTATTCGATGCCTTGTGTATAACGGTACAGTTCTATGCCCGGTAAAGTTCTACAAAAAAAAAATATTTTCCATTATTGTTTAATCCCGCTTCTCATTTTAAAGTTATGTTTATCTCTAGCTTGATATTTTGAATGACCATGTTCTTGTTTAAGGGGGTTTCTCATCCTAACAAGTTTCTGAGTATGATTCCTGCATCATGTCTCTCATGACACCAACTAAATAACCGTGACCTCTGACCTGGCTTGATGTCGTCATAGTTGACGATCCAGCTCTCGTCCCAAAGCATCTTCTCCTGCCTCCAGTAGAAATACTGAGAAAAATCAATCAATGAGAGACAATCTAAATGATGACATAGCAGCGGCTCATTTAGCATTGCGTAAATTCCGCGGCGGATGGGCAGGCATTCTCCGCCCTCCTGACAACTTGTCGAAATACATGCTCAGACAGGCCTTTAAAAACCACAAGCTCATCCATATGTCTCCACGATGAGTGTTCGTTAAACGCTTTGTGTATAATACACAAAATGAGAAACTTTTAAGACGACCGAATCAACTCATGACTGACCATAAGGGGACCATGTAATGATAATTCAAACGTGGGAGGCGTACGCGACTCGGGCAAATCGATTCTTTTAATATTGATACGATTATTTCACCAGACTCATATCTGTGCCTCACCATATTGATGCAAAATGAAATATATCTAGGATTGTTATACCTCTGTCTTGAATACTGCATCTTCATTGGCCTAAAACGATCACGTGTTAAGTTTGTAAAAAGTCATGGCACACTCCCTGTGGGATCCGTACGTGATATCCCACAGGGAGTGTGCTATGACTTTGTGCGTACGGCCGGTACGTACGGTGTGAAACGCTTGAATCGTTGGTACCCACGCTATTTTCACCATGTTTTTACGCATTAATGGGAGCAGCGACCTAGCAGACGATCAGCTACATGCATGTGAGTGGACGTTCGATTGTCATGATTGCTGTGTTTACTGTTTGTTTTCGTGATTTTTACATCAAAATCAAACGAATCCACGACAAAGGTATAACAAAACAATTGTTGACCACATCACAGCAGTCAACAATTGTTAATTGAAGCTTTCATTCTTGTTCATTTCAATTCGATTCACTCGTGGAGCCATTCTTCCAGTGTGGTACCATTCATTTATGTATGCAAATATGAAGCATTTGCAAACCCAAAACAAATGTATACACAAAGCCGACAAATTCAAACACAATGCCAAGCGAAACAACCAACCGTGTTTACATTTGAGGATAGGTTTATGGCGATCCTTTACGACGCAATACGCAATATTGGCCATGAGAAAACGAAAGGCATATCTCGGGATAATCCATTCATCAGGCTAATTATTCTGAAGCTTTTCGTATTTTCATTCCGGTTCGATCCACTCGTGGAGCCCATTCTTCCAGTAAAGTATTATTGGTTTATGCATGCATAGCAAAGTCTGCACGAAGCATGGACAAAAGCAAAAGAAATCTCTACACAGAGCTGATGTTCATTTTTGGAATCAACTGTGCTCAATATAGCTATGGAATAACGAAACAGCGTATTGTAGGTCTCCCCATGTAAAGAGCCTGAATTTCAGAAAATTTTAATTTACTTGAGTGCATTTGGCAAAAAATGAAACAAATAGCATGACGTGGAAAAGTTATCATTTTTAGTCCAAAATGTATTTTTCTCCCTCGAATTCAGAGATTTTACAATGATTTTCGTATTGACTAGGTCTATTGGTCACTAAAGAAGCTCTTCGGGTATTCAAATTTTCTCCAACAACTACATTTGCAAACAAAGTGTGCTTGAACGTAAAGCAGCAACCAGCAAACGTACTACCCAACAACACTACCAGTTAATCATACAGCGAGCCAAATTCAATCAGCCAAACAGCCAAAACTAGCGAGCAAATAAGCCAACAAATCTGCTAGCCAACCAACCAACCAACAAATTTACCACAAGACTACAGCCATCTACCAAGCCCAAAGTCAACCAGCCAAATAACAAAAATAGCAAGCTCAAACGAAAAGCTACCAAACCTGCTAGCCATCCAACTAGTCAACAATACTACTCGCCAACCAACCAGCAAGCCATAGTTTAACCAGTCAGAGGTATATACCAGTCAACTGGCCACCATTCCAACAAACCCACCAGCCAACAAACCATCTAACAAGCTACCAGTCAACCAACGAGTCAACAAACAAACGTACTAGCCACAAACCAACAACCAGCCAACAAACCTACCTGCCAATCAACCAGCCAGCAAACCAGCCAACAAACCTATATACCAGCCATCAACCAACCAACAAACCTACAAAATCAACCAACCAGCCAACAAACCTACCAGCCAACCAACCAGCCAACAAACCTACCACCCAAGCCACCAGCTATACAAAACCTACCAGCCAACCAACCACCGAGCAAAAAGTAGACTGACATAAGGGGAAATGCAAAATTAAACAGGCGGTAACTCTAGGTTTAGCTCAAGGTTTTACAAGGTTAAGCAGGGTTTTCTAGGGTACCTCGGGGATAAACCTCGAGTTACTCCTTGTTTAAATTTTGCATTCTTCCGTAAGCCAACAAGCAAACAAACCAACCAGCCAACCAAGACGTCTACCAGCCAACCAACCAGCCGGCAAGACCACCAGCAAACCAGCAAGCCCGCGGGATTACCAGCCAACTAACCAGCAGCCCATAGTCAAAGTCCACCAGCCAACAAGACTACTAGCCAACCAACAAGCAAACGTATGAAGTTAACTATCCAAACCAGCGAACCAACAAGCAAGCTAACTATTCAGGTAAAAGTCAAGTGAAGAACAAGCAAACATGAGCAAACTAGCCAGACAATGTGAGTAATCAAGTTTTAGATTTCCTCAAAATATCCGTATCTGATGATATAAAATGCTTGGGGCTGAATGCAGCCAAATCACCCAGTCACGTCGCGATTGCAAGAGGAATGATAAGTTAACTAGGTTTTATACTGAGCATAGGCTGCTGATAGTGTTACCTCATATTTTTTTGTTTAAAGTTTCTTTGGGAACAGCCACGCACTTAACCTGTGATTTAAATAGATATTTCACATTGTGTTCTAGTGTCGTTTCTATGACTCAATCCAAGCATAAAGCAGTTTCTAATTGACAACGAAATGGGCTGAATATGCATCGTTTACCAACTCCGTTACTTATTTGTGATTTCAGGGGTTGGAATGGTCTGCTAAACGTTTTTAATTAATAAGGTTTTGGTGGCTTTCCGAAATTTCAAATTTAATTAGATTCTTAGGCTTGCAAATGTCATGTTCGAAACCACTTTAAAATTCAGTATTTCCTGTAAATTAAAGTCTAATTCTTTTGGCTGGTCATGATCGCCATCCTGATAAACAAGGCCCGACCTCGCCATACACACGTGGCATCCAAATTGGCAAAGAAAGAAAGGCTTTCATCAGAATGGCCTACCCAGATAGCAATATTTTCATCAACTGCAGGAAATTCGAGCCCGGGGCACCTCTTATGGCCATAGATCAGACAGATTTTAGGTGGCAACGGTTAATTTAATGAAGTCCTCGCGACGAAACCGATTACATCGAAAAATAATCGGCTGAAATCTTTCCTTTCCCTCAGGGTTCTAGCTGTGGAGCTGCGACCCGTCCACATCGTTCCGATGGTAAATTGCTGGAATATTCCTGATGATTAATCATGACAGGTTGGTCTTGATCTCTAAGCCCTACGGGGAATGGGACCTGTAGCAGGCAGAGACTGAAGCAAAACCTGTTAGGCTGACATCTCCTCTTTCTTTTGCCCGGGAGTTGCTGGGTGTTTGTTGTGAGTAATCAGCGGGAAGGTACACCTGCTGTAATGGTCGTACATCTCAGTCGATTGGTAATGCAATGCGGTCTACACATAACTCTCGAGTGATGGCTTTCTTTCTGCGGCTTCTTGGGGCTTAGTGGCTTAGTCTGGGCCCTAGAGACCGACGGCGGCTACTCATCACCTATATCATGGCTACGGCTTTGATGTTAATCGTTGGTTGACTATCCGTAGCCGAAGACAATGAAGACTGACTCGGAGAATGTATTCAAGTCTAGCTTCTGGGATTTAATGCCTGGAAATGAGAACACATTCGCATGGTATACCAACAGTGGGTCGCATGTAGAGCGCCGTATAGACCAATGGTTGCGGTGTCGCGACCTCTGTGCGATGGTACCTTGGATCTAACCCAGAACATGGTGCCGGTGTTCTTTGGCAAGACTCTTTAATTTCGAATTGCCTCTCTCTACCCAGGAGTATCAATGGGTACTCGTGAGGGTAGAGACCACACTGCGCTGACAACCAGCTGCTGCACAAATTAAGCTTGTCCCGTGGCCTGACGAACAGGGTGGTATTGATTGTAAAGCGCTGTGAGACTTTGGTATACTGATACAAAAGTGCAATAGAAACACACTAGTATTCCCGATATCATCCAATGATAGACTTCATAAAGTTATTAGACAGTCCGTTCATGTGATTGGGAAGAAATTTCATGAGTATCGAGTACAAATATATTTTGTAGGTGAGACTAAGAAGGTGAGACTAAGAATACGATCAAGAAGCGTTTCTATGCCCACCGGTCAACGGTCAACACCAAGAAACTAGACACCCCTGTTGGTCATCACTTCAACCTGCCTAACCACTCCATTTCTGATATGATTTTGCAGGGCATCGAATCTCTTGGCCATCGCAAGGACTCAGTTCGCCTCAGCAGAGAGAAAGTGTGGATGAATCGTCTTCGAACTATTCAACCACATGGTCTCAACATCCAACTTGGAAATGATTAATCCTTTTCTTCCTCCATTGTCTTCTGTTACAAATAATCCACCTGGTCTTCCTTGTTTGTGTTTACCCATCTTCCCCCATCTTTCATCCCTTTCCACCTCCATACTGTCCCCCCCCCCCGCCCCCGCATCATCCCCCTTCACTCTCACACTCTTTTGTCCTTCCCACTCCCTGTGACCTTTGATCCTTCCCCTTTCTGGTCCCTCCCCTGTTTATACCAGACCCCTTGTGGTTTGCCATCTCCCTTTGTTTCTTTGTTCTCTCATCCACCCTCCCCCGCATCTTTCCACACCTTTCCCACCTAATCCTCCTTTTGTGTTTCTTCTTTCAGCCCTGCATGTTTGTGTGCACCCCCATGTTAATGTATGTACCTCTGTCATTTCTGTTTTAGCCTCTGAAGAAGAACTTGCTAAGTTCGCAACGTCAGGCCACATTAATTTTTAGATACAAATATTCTTGGTATACTATTCACAGTTGGAGCGTATGTCAGTGAATGAAATAAAACAGCTATCTTACCCCGCTAAGACCACAGAAGACGGCCATGATGAAGACGCAGGTACATGCTATGGCGGCTATAGCACCCTGCGACATTGGGCACGCGTTGCAATCAGCCGGACAAGTGGAACAGTCCTCCCCTTCTTCAGTTTCACAGTTTGTATTGCCACAGACTGTAAACGAAAAGCAAAAAATACATTCCTAAAAAGATAGGACACACAGAAGCATTACTTTTGAAATCGATGCCTTTTGGGTAATTTGAAAGTCAAATATGCGAAGTCTAGTCTACAGGGTGAGTCAAAAAAAGCGAAACCCAAATGTCGGGACCATTGTTTTAGTGGAGTTCTGCATGTGGCCCTTTCAAAATCTAGGATACGAAAGCAATATTTTTAGACTTTCTTTTAGTACAAGAATCATTCAAATCAATAGTGTACTTTTCAAGTTACGGAATTTTAAACACAACCACCGTTTTAAAGTTCTGTCCACAGATCACAAGAATGTATTTAAAGTGTTCATTCATCAAAACGAAAACAAATCACACCGGGTTGTGTGTGAATTGTTTTCGTTCTGCTGAACGATCGCACCTCAGCAGCAAATCCAGCTTTTGATGTGGGGGGGGGGGGCAACCGCACATCCGCGCAGAAATGTTTTTTTTCGCCGGACACTTGGCCTCCGTACCATCAAAAAGGGGGGGGGGGGGTGATACCCATCTTCCAAATGGGGGCTCTCTTCAAAACTGACCAGTATTATGCATACTACATATTAAATGGACATTTTCACGGCGCATTGTACTGGTTGTTGAGCGGGTTTTCTTTGGTGGGATTGATGTCAGAAGAACTCAATAAACATTTATTTAAATCATTGCTGACGAAACAAATTTGCTCACAAAAATCCGCCGGGGGGGGGGGGGGGGGAGTATCCCCCTGCCCCATCCCCCCGGATACGCCACTGGCACACCTTTATTTGTGATCCGTGGACAGAACTTTAAAACGTTGGTTGTGGTTAACATTACGTAACTTAAAAAGTACTTGAGTGATTTGAATGATTCCTGTACTAAAAGAAAGCTTATGAATTGGGTTTTCATATCCTAGATTTTCAAAGTGCTACATGCAGAACTTCACTAAAACATTAGTCCCGATATTTGGGTTTCGCTTTTATTGACTCACCCTGTATGCGGAAGCATCTCAACGCAAAGAAAGACATTTTAACGAACACTTCTTCGCTTAGAATAAATACCACAATAACTTTGATGAAAGACACTTAATGAAAAATGCATATTGATTCCTTCCGAATATGAAGTCGGTGCACAATATTTGTGTTATGAAGGCTAAGCATAAAAAAGGAAATTAAAAATATCATATCATTTACAAAGAAAAGTACAAGACGCCTATAAGTCTACGGAAGCACTGAGGCAAGGCCGTTAAGTAAGCATTATAATGTTTGTAGTAAAAATAGAAAATAATGCTCGCTAACTGCCTATCACAACACAGAGGGTATTTGATTATTACTGTCATTAGGCTAACCTCGTCCCCATGGATTTCATGCGTTTTCTTTGTTAAACCAGGAATGTGTGGTGACAGCGCGAAAATGCTGGATCAAAGCATTTTGAGAACGAGACTGATGCCTCTGCGTTTCATTATTAATGATATTTTAGTCCAGCGGCGGTGGAACGGTTTTCAAACGGGGGGGGGGGGGGGGCTGTTTCACCAAAAAGGGGCACTTGCACATCCGTGCTGAAATGTAGACACGTTTTTTTTCACCGGACACTTGGCCTCCGTACAATCAAATAGTGGGGGGGGGGGGGGGGGGGGGGGGGCGCTCTTCAAAACCGGCCAATATGCAGGGCGCATTGTAAGGCTTTTTGGGGCTTTGGTTTTCATATTCCTCGTTCATATCAGATCTCTCTGAACCATTGTGGGAAATGGTTACTGAAAACAAATTATTTGACATTTTAGGGCCAGTTTTGTTTTCATCTCGAGGGGGCACGTCTATGCTCGAGGTTGCACATTTAGGTCCGCAAAAGGGGCACTTGGCTAAATGGGGGGGGGGGGAGGGGGGGAGCAAGTGCACTTGTTTACCATGGAGGTATTAACGGGTCCTCGGATTGATTGAGTTCCTAAGTAGGTAGGATCACTATAATAGTAAACAACTTGAATGATAATCTGTATGGTATTCAAAAATCAATGCAATGTCAAAGCATGGGCCTTATGCGCGAGTTGGCCATTTTTGTCCGAGTTCCCCGAATGTATTCGAATGGGATTGCGCCAGACTATTTTTATGCAGGCATAATGCAGCCTTATATGACAGTCATATTTTTTTTTTTTTAAATCTGGCTTTAAACATAAGGGAATGTTAAATTACAAATTTTAAATTATTCATTGAAACAGACTGGAATTAATTAGTAATTAAGTTGCTTTTATTTTTCACCGAAAGTTCAACAATTAACATTTTACCTCACTTTCAATTCAATATGGCCGACTCGTGCATAAGGCCCACAGCACAATGAACTGCCTTGATAGTCCGTGATTGCACGAACACCGAACTTTCCATGCATGTCTTGGACTTGTATGCGAAACACAGCGTTAAAAGGGCGGTTGTGAGGGTGAGAAAAGTGCAGGGTTGGGACGGGAGGGTTTCGCCCGTAAGCATTGTATGCACTGAATAAATAGAACAATTCTCAACGCATGTTCAGTACGCATGGTTAAACCCATGAAAATTTGCTATCTCCCATACAAATTGATTAAAATGTTAGCTGCACACCATTTTCCAATATCATGACATGACATGAGGTCAATGGATGGTCAAACAGCGTGTCATGTAACTTTCACCAACATAAAAAACACAAAACAACAACAACAACAACAACAACACCAACAAAGATACCAACTTCCAGGAAGATATCCCATATATTCACCGTCTATAACTAATTCAATACATTCAAATATAAACTAAAAACTTATATACCTAATTTTCAGAGTGCCTGATTAATTATTACGTTAAGTTGATTTAGCCGTTATTGAAATGTTGTTTATTGTCCTGCTTTGTTTAACTGCTACATATTTAACTATTGTTATTATTTGTAAACAATCTACAATTAGTGTTGTTTGTCTTGTTTGTCTTGCATTTTTGGGCACGTCCACCACGAGCTTCGGCTTTTTGTGATGATGCTTCCACAGAGTGGAAATAAATGGTTATTGAATTTAATTGAATATATCGAACTATAATTTTATAGTTAGGCGAGATCATAGGCCAATTCTTGAAATAACTTTTTTCCTAACAACTGGTTGTCACAGTTGACCAACCATGGCAATTGACAGTTGGCTAAAATGTCCACTAAATTACTCAATATTGAGTACAATTGACCAACGCTTGGTAAAAGACTTTTACCCATTTTTTTTTTACAGTGTACATGGTCATGGATGAAATCATGGAACAGACGAGGGAAATGATATAGGAATGCCCGTTTAATCGTGTGAGACTGATGACCGTATAGAGCTGACGCCAATCTGCAGCCGCCTTGAATGACCTTATACAATCCATCGTCCCGTCCATCGTTACACTTGGCCAATCAAGTAAACACATTGAAAGCAGCTTGCTATTATGTGAAACTGTTCTGGGTTCGACTCATGAGTGATTTCAACAGGCTTCTGTTCAGTAACACTGTCTTCCTGTATGTTCTTTATAACTTGATATCTTTCAATCAAGTCATTATTGAGGGGCAGTCACAGGTTTTATCTGAGGCTGTGGATATTGCTAAAATATCCCAGAACTCGGAGAATTCAGCCTTTTCTTGAAAAATAAGATGGAGCCCATGCAAAGGTTGGTTATTGGGTCCAATAGTCCGTCAAGACGAGAGCTTGGACAGCAAAGGTGATGGTTGAACTTCAAATGGCGCCCGTGGTGAGTACACAAATAGGTGGGTACTATACATTCACACAATATTAGCACCAGTTTACAAGCAAGTGCACCCTCACACAAGCTACAACTAAGAAGAACTTGGTAATTCTTCGTGTCTTCCCAGACCGATTCATTATCCCCCTCTGGAACAGTTAGTAAACTTTCGTGAGACATTTCCAGGACTGAGATACTGTCTCCTATTGGAATGCCCTGGCGGTTTATTTTTAATCATTAGGAGCCGGTGTGTGTTTCAAGACCCAACTCAACATATAGCTCTTTTTATCTTTAAGGGGTATTTTCTACATTACTGGCACGAGCCTCTGAGATTTTGATGACGTATGCTGAAGTATTTTTTTGAAATGTTCTAATTACACCATGGTATTTCGATTTCTGTTTCAAAGTTTATTTTTTTCCGGTCGCAGATCGGAAACTTGATATTCGATAAATCATCATGACGCATCACTTTGTTTATGGGGATGATTATTCTGAAATATTTGTCATTTTTGCTTGGTCTAAATCAAGCGTGCATGGGCCCTGAAATCATTAGACAAGAGCGGCATCGGTGCTGTAAACCTTTCATCGCCATTACAATCATGTCCTTCTCCTACATCTATTGCCTACACGGACCACCGTGCGTTTAAGCAGCATCAACAGCACGGTCAGGTTTTGACGTCTGGAAGTTGAATCGGGAGGGGGAATTTAGGCACGGAAGCCCTACTCCGTCCACCAGAGTACTGGACTTGCAATTAAGGGCATTTCGGACGAACTTGATATAGCCGAATGTTTATTGCGTTAAGGGCCGTTGGCGTTAGGGGTCCTGGGCTTGGTATGCAGGAGAATAGACAGATGAATGGATCTTTCATTTACTTCACTGTGTCCATGTTTATAGATGAGCTCTACATCGACAAAAATCTGGGTCACGTTTGACAAGACCACGAACCCTAATTAGCCTCTTTTCACTCAGAACTCAGAGAGGGATAGAGGAAAGTACGCCTATTAGCATATCTCCATGGTAACATGGCATCATCAGTGAAGGTCCTGCGTTCGATACAGACATCATTCAGTCCGCATTTAGACACCAAAAGGGTGCTACCAAACAGGAAAACTTCATTACGGCAAAGACGGGAGAGATGGAAGATGGTTTGCTATGACCCTAGACAGCAGGTGGAAGCTATCCAATTCCAGCTTGGTAGATGAACATCAGCAAATTGACCCACGAAGAAAGGCGAGAAAAAAAGGAAGGCAAGTCGAATTCGGGCACTCAAGGAAGCCAGTT